ATTTTAGAGAATGTTTTACAAATGATAACATATGAGGTTTTTGAAACCAAAAAGGAGAGAGAAGAAAAGCAAGCGAGTGAGAGACATAGAGAATCAACGTTTTCGAACCGTCGTTGATCCGACTGGTCGGACCGTTCGGACTGGAAAACGGTCACTCGAATGGGTCTGGTTTTACCCTAAACCATCATTCAGCCCAAAAACGTTGAAATGGTCAAAAAACCATTGACTCAGATGATTGAATTGTCAACCCATTCGACCCGAGCAACGGTTAGCGGTTCGACATTTACATTTATTTTGATTTATTTCTTAAATTACCCATATGGTATAACTAATTGACTAACTCTTTACTATTTGCATATTTTCTTAAAGTACCCCTACTATGTCTAACAATTGACATCGTCGGTAAGTGTTAGCGGAAAGAAATGGAATATCAAATTTGCCCTCCACTATTCATCAAATTTTCAAAATAAAACCCAATTGATGAAATGTCGACCGCCCCAAGCTTCTTAGCTTCATCAGGATCCAAATCAGCTTCTCCTTCATCGATCGTTGAAGGCTAATGCCTACCTACTATTACTAGCCCTCACTGTCACATGTGCCACCTCATCTAAAATCCTCGACGAACAATTGTCCCTTCTAGTAACAACACCGTAGGCATCCAATCCAATTGAAATGATAGTCCTAGATAGAGCACCTGTGTCCACTTTTGTCACTAATGTAGCACCTGTGGGCCCACCCTCCATCAAGCAATCAAATGCTGCTCCTTCTACATCTACCAATGCCACTGTGGTGAATGCGTACTAGGGATGGCAATGGGGCGGTCTAGACCCTATCCACCTCCCTAAACCTCCCAACTCGTACCTGCCCCAAAGCCCGTAGTGGGTTGAATTTTGAGAATCCAAACCCTCATCGCACATGAAAGTGCAAAACCCTCCCCGACCCTACCCTCCCTGCATTCAAGGTAGGGGGTGGATTGTATTTAAAACCCACATCTAATTTCCTATTATTTCTTGTCATATATAAGCAATAAGTAAAACAACACAAATAAACATCAAGATTTCTAATTATTTGATTAAAGACGTGTAAAAAACACATAAACTATCAATTATCATTCACATAAGATTCAAAATATTATTAAATTCAACACTTAGTGCATAAAGTTTATATGCTTATGCCAGTCAGAGGGGGTTTGATTTAGCCTAATACCGTACCCTACCCATATGTGTGTGGGTTGTAGAATCCCAAAACTCGTCGTGGAGGGTAGGGGCGGGTACCCACCGGGTAGGGTAGAAAACTAGATATTTCCATCCCTAATGCGGACACCCAACACCCATTGTCCTTCTTCATGCATGACATACTTGGTGGGTCGAACACCCTATACCTGAGCCGTGATGGGAATTGTGAACAACCCAACGATGAACGATCAAGTTCCCTTTGCCAGGCCAAACACTATGGTACTCCCTGTCAACAATGGCATTCCCCTCAACAGCGACAACAATAACATTCCATTCCTCATCGGCCTTGGAGGAAGTTCATAAACTATCGTTTAGAACAATGGTAACAACGTCATAAATGGTGGTTTCTAAGTTCCTTTGGTGAATGGAGCCCAACTTCTTGCAGGGACCATCATCCAGAAGCTTAGTCTAGATTCAATGTATGAATTTGAAACCCCTATTGGTTGATATTAGGGGTGGCAATTTTTCACCCAACCCGCCCATTTACTAGGCGGGTTGGAAATGGTTTGATCACCCATTGGGTCAATTTAAACGGGTTGGGTTGTGGATAACCATTGGGTTAACCACTACAAATATAAGTATTAATTCCTTAGTTTTTTTTTTATTTTCTTCATTTGAATGAAATAATTTATAATTAATGCATTAATTTTCTATCAATTATTAACTAAAATTAGTTTTGTCTCAAATCAACACACTTCACCCAAATCGACATAAATCCAAATCAACTTGACCCGAGTTTGGACCAGCTCAACTTGGTTTAAATATGAATAGACCTGATCACCTCGGTTTGATTTGTTTGGGTCGATCATCCTAGTCCGAACTCGACCCAACCCAGGATAGGCGGATCTGGATCGACCCGAATCCAAAACGAGTATGAGCCAAAAACCCGCCTTGCTTGCTTTGACGGTTTGGTTTGTGCCAAGCCGTATATGCACAACCCGACCCGATTTTGGACCAGTCCGATTTACTTATATTGACTCGCTTCGGGCAAGTCGATTTGGTCCCAAACCCGTGCACAAACCTGATATGGGTCAGTCCAAGTCAATCCACCATTGATTGAACCAGTCTAGTCTGGTCTGACTGGACTGATCCAAATCTAAATGGTTCAATGGTTCAACCACCCTTGATGTGATTAGCTCGAAGACAATCCAATAAGATAATTCAAGTTGGTTTGACCAGTTTGAACCTGAGTGGTTTGGTCAAACCCGAAACTCAAACATAGTCAAATGGCTTCGCTGCTTGTGTAAAAGTAGCATGCATGTAATGTGATTTGAACCTTCACCACTTGTGTAAATAACTACTATGACCACCAAGCTATGACCAATTTTTTTGTTAAGTGAGAGTTAGTTTTTTGTTTTAAGTACATAAATATAAGATTAATGGGTTTAGGCGGGATGGATTGGGTTGAACCCAATCCATTTAATTTTATATAACTGGGTCATTAATGGGTTAGCGAGTTAGATGAATTGGGTTGAAACTCAACCCAAACCAAACCCAACCCAACCCACCCAATTGCCACCGCTCGTTGATATACAAGGCTCTGTCCTGCTTTAGGTCGAGGGGCTCCACTACTGTACTTGAATTTGATGAAGCACTTAGAGCTTTTGGAATGATAAACTATAACTACAAAAAAAAAATGTTTTTTTTTCTTAATTTATTGGTAAAGAGATCTAGATGAAGTTTTGCAATCTCACATTATTTATTCGAATGTCTTAGAAGGATTTCTTGCCAAGTCAAAAGCTTTGATCATAGGTTTTGAGACTTGTAGACACCCCATTTTTGTGCCCCTTACTCTTTATATAGCACTTCAAACTTCAAGCATACTTCAACTAACCTCAAAGATCCATGACCATAGGTATGTAGAGCCAAAATATTTGAAGTGGATGATACCAAGATCAACCAAATCCAACATCATTAACCCCTTCATCTTAACACCCAAAGCCAAAACCGATTCCGATCGAAGTAATTTTGATCATGAACCTCATTTCATATCAAATTACAAATCTGAGACGGTACATAGAGCCTAAAAATCCAAATCCAATGACACCAAAATCACCCAAGTTTGACACTATTTACCCATTCATTCTAAGACTCGAAGTCGGAACTGATTACAATTGTCTGATTGAGGTAATTTTGATCTTGAACCTCATCTAGCGTCAAATCAGACATCCAAAACCATAGGTACGTAGATCCCAAAAATCCAAATTCAATGACACCAAGATTACCTGAATCCGGTATCGTTTACCCCTTTATCTTAAGACCCGAAGCCGGAATCGATTTCGATCGTCCAATGGAAGTCATTTTGATCATGAACCTCATTCCACGTCAAATCAGAAGTCCAACATCATAGGTACATAGGTTCCAAAAAATCCAAGTCCGACAACACCAAAATCACCTGAATCCGACACCGTTTACCCCTTCATCTTAAGACTCGAAGCCAGAATCGATTTCGATTGTCCAATGGAAGTCATTTTGATCTTGAACCTCATTCCACGTCAAATCAGAAGTCCAACATCATAGGTACATAGGTTCCAAAAAATCCAAGCCGACAACACCAAGATCACCCAAATCCGAAACTGTTTACCCCTTCATATCAAGACTTGGAGTCGGAATTGATTCCGATGATCCGATTGGGATCATCTTTGATCCTAAACCCTATGCCTCATGAAATCTAAAATCCAACCTTGTAGATGGATAGAGCTCAAAATTCAGAGTCTAATGGTACAAAAATCGTCTAATTCCAACACCGTTAGCCCCTCCATCTTGAGACTCAAAGTTAAATTCGATTCGGTTCCTCCATTTGAAATCCTCTTCACAACAACTTCGAACGTAGGACATCCCATGACCATATCCTTCCTTTCAGCTTCTAGAATCATTTTAAAATCAAATATTTGACTAGTTAGAGCCTCCAATCAATCAATCCAATCACCTAAATTTGGAATATCCAATTTAGGTAAGTTGATAAGATCTTCCATTTATTATCTTGATTGATTGAGAGGATATCTCTCAATGCTGTGTTTATAGCCCCTTATCTCAACCAATCTCCCTCCAAAAATCCTTTAAACCTCAGCCATTGATCTCCCTTGGCTCCCTATCTCAGCCCTCCATTCCCTTCTCACATTCTAGACAGAATTTAGCTTAAGGAGAAAACTCTACCCCAATTAAGCCTAAACAATACCCCTTTATGTCCAAAAAAATCATAAATTCATATTCACCATGTCTAAGTTCATGACAGTACCTCCCTTCACGTCACGTCCAAGGACTTCCCCAAGCATTCTTTATCATTGCTGTAATCCATTACAACATTGTCCTCACTCCTAGGTATTTATAACCCCCTCCCCCCACACATCCTAATCCTTAAGATTTGTTTCTCACAACCATAACTCCCTTTCCATTTCACTTGAAAGCGTCCAACAACATTTCTTTTGTTATTGGGCAACATACCCATTGTTGGAAGCTTCAAGAAGGTTCGGGAGGGGAGAAAGGCATCTAAACGGCCCAAGGATCCAAGAACTCAAGAAGAATGCAGAGTTCATGTTGAGGTTACTGAATACGGCGATAACGTCTTCACGTTTTCAAGCAACGACCCAGGTAAGTCTCTTGATATTGAACCTGCTCATTTTATCTTCAAGTCCCTACGTGTTACGTGTTAGGTAATTTTTAGATTAATAATTTCTAATTTCTTATCATCCCTTATAGATATTTTCATTAGTAATACCCTGTTTGGCAAATTTTTTTTAAAAGTTTTAATGGGCTTTTAAAAGACCGGTAGATCAAAAGCCGTCATTTTTTTGGATAATGAAAGCCCATAAGACCAAAAACTGTTATCAAAATGGTCTTTATTTGAAAAGCTGCAACCGAAGCTTTTGCCTATTCGGGCTTTTTACCTACATGTAGCAAAAATTCGAACTCGACGAAACATCCTCCACTTTCGAAAGTGACTGAGAGGAACTTTGCCCCAAGCGACTGAGAAGCATCGACGCCGGTAGTTCTTCTCCTTTTTAATTCCTTCAATCTTCTACCGTCGTTCCATGAATTTCCCCTTCCTCTTCTTCTTCTTCTTCTTCCATCAAGTACTAATTGACATTTTTTTCTTTTAGGAGGCTAATTACCAGCTGTTGTTCACCGTGTTCAGGTATAATCAAATGCCATTGCTCATTCTTTTTTCGGATTCCATTGACACATTAGGCTCCAGGTTAGTGCTTAACATTTGTTAGTGTTCTATCATCAACATTTTTTGATGTCTATTTACATTTCAAATTTCTGCGATCTGAATCATATATACATCTCAAAAAAGAAAAATAAAAAAGAAAAAGTTAAAATAAAAATAGTTGGCGTAGCAAATGATTCAGTCATATTAGAAACACTCGTTTGATGCGGTTTGGTGAACTATTTGTTAGAATAACATAACCTATTCCAGCAGCTCCTGTTACTGGATCGTATGAGCCATCAACATATATGTAGGCTTCGGGATTTTTCTGGGGGGGGGGGGTGTTTGGTGAACTATTTGTTTATTGCTTGTGGTTGTCCATAGGGTCCAGCTTTCTCCACCAGTTGCAGGGGGATCCAACACGTTTTGTTGGTAGATTTTTGCATTGCACATGTCCCATATGTGTCTAAACAGAGTGAAGAATTTTGCAATATAAACCTGTTTGATGTTAGGTGACTTGTCCTGCACGTTAATGTTAAAATTGTAATTAAGGTGGTTGTGGAGAGTTAAGGAATTGGTTTCCATTAATCTTACTCAGACTCCAAGAGATGGATCTTTTAGGGAGGTTATAGTCAGTATCGATGATACTGTAGTTGGGGCTGTCTGGCCTTCTACTGTGATATACACTAGAGGGATCAATCCTCTGCTATGAACACCCATCTTTGGAATTGGTTCTTTTGATCTCCCTTCATAGATATTGATATTACTCCGTTCCTAGGAAAAGTTTTGGATGGAAGGCAGCATCAGTTGGGGTTTAGTGTAACAAATGCTCTTAGTGTGTGGTACTTAGATGCAAATTTGCACGTATGGTTGAATAAACAAAGTGCTAGAACTAAAGGAAAGTTGATTAAATATGATGTCCAACCTCTAGTGATCACCTTAGTTTCGGACTTCAATGGTTCAAATGGACATTTTCTTACTACAACAAGTAGGTCTTTTCTTTTGGCTGGATGGGTGAAGTCTTCTCATGGAAACATCACAACCCAATCACATCAATACTTTGCTTATAGGAACACAATGAAGTTTTGGAACAATGGGAATGAGCAGATTGTGAATCAAACAACAGATGTCAATGCCAATGTTTGTTCTAGGCTCCCTTCTCATTTAGATTTTATTGATTTATCTAGAAGGTTTCCCCTTTATTTGTACACTAACTTTGTGGATCAAGGAAATGGCACCTCGACTTCAATTTCAAACCTGTCCTTAGGATTCAACCAGCAGTTGTTTTCACATGGCCCATTTGGTTTCTCAAGGGGAAATTCATGAATCTGTAGGCTGCACAGGATTCTATGATTGTAATGGGGAATTTGGTAACTGGTGGTTTGGGAAGCACTCAGCAAGTATTTACATATGATGGTAAAGATGGATGCTACTTTAGGAATGTGAGTATTTTGTTAGTCTAGCTCTCAATGAGGAGAATGGAATTGCAAGAGTTTCTGCACATGCAAATGGCAGTCCATGCATGTGTCGTCATTTACATTTATATGGAATATAAGGCTACGTTTGATTGCAGCCTAAACTTCATTCACACTGCTCTAGATTCATGGAAGCGTAAAAGGGATGAGTGTAAATTTTGGTTTACTTTTGCTTCATGTAGGGTGTAGGATTCCCTATCATTTCCTGCCCTTTCTTTCAAACTAAACACAACCTATGAAAGAGAATGGAGATAGGGCTGGGTTATCTGTTTAGATTAAGTAGGATGCAAGATGATCTCCACTTTATATGAGAAATAGATAAAGAACTGAGGTAGCGGGAAGTTGGTGCAAAATTTGCATAAGTTTTTGGGATGTAAAATTTACACTCAGCGAATGTTAAAAAGACAAAAAGCATAAGTTTTGTATCAAGTAAAAATGAAACTCATAATTACAAACGAACAAAAACAAAACTGAACCAAGTACGACTTTTGCTCCAAAGATTTGCACTGCAACAAAAAATGACAAAACAAAGGGTTTGTTTGGAAATTGCCATCAGAAAAAAAAACAAAAGTATACTAAAATAAAGTTCAGTATTTAAGGTATTGGTTTTAAGTTTGTCTAATGTTTTTCAATTCTATAAGATTTGGGCTCGTAAATTCAACTTGGTTAGCTATAGTTGAACATTAAGAGATGGAGTACAGTGGAAAGGTAGATAAAATGAGAAGATCATAGCATGCATGAATTGAACTAAGGTTAATGGGCCTTGAAAACTCAACGGAAGTGACCGGTGAGCTAAAAAGTAGGGAGCTCAATCTCTATGAAATTGGTCCGATTATAGTTCTCTTAAAAAGGTGGACTTATTCCATTGAGGGTTGGAGTAAAGTAGTTGGTGGGAAGCTCAAATCTCATACTATTGACCAAGACACGTTTTTTCACAAGACTAGACAAGCTCAAATCCCACTTGGAGGATTTGCAATTTTAGGAAGATCATCAGTTTTTTTAGGTCTTGAGCTTTTGGAAGATCGTCAGTCTGTTGTTTATCTCTTTCTATAGTAGTCTAGTAGAATATGTCCAATGCAATTTGGAAGATAAATTTTGTGTTGTTAATTTGCAATTTTACTTCATTTTATATACACAGCATCATTGTTCTTTTATTTGGCTAATAAATCAGTCCATATCCGTTTAAAGGCTCCCATTACCATTCCATTCTTTTATGACTCACATCATCAAGATTCATGATCCATGTGTTCTAGTCTCATAGTAATGGGGTCATAATTTCTTTAGACTACAAGCCCACCATTTCCTGTGTAGTTAGTTTTTTTTGCAGCCTAGTTAAGTCTTTTTTTTTTCTTTGTTCAGTCATCATGTTTAGTTAGTTATAAAGTTATCATTTTAAAACCAGTTAAGGCTTCATATAATTGCTGTCTACTAGGATCTTTCAAAAATAAGATGCAGTGCCAGCTAGATGACAGGTGGTAATGTCTGAAATTGGTTGCTCAATCGGTGGCGGTGAAGGTTGAATCAAACGCTTGGCCCTTGTTACTTCACAGAAGCTCAAACCAGTGGTAGAATTGGGGCAGATTCTCAGATGGCAATGGAAATAGTTACCAATGAGTGATTTGGTGGCAAGTGAAGAGACCAGAGAAATGGATTGGGGAAGATGGGAGTGATAATGGCATTGGAAATAGTTGTTGTTTTGCTTTGGCAGTGAAGAAGAAAAAGGGGAGGAGTCTGAGGGAAACGGTTCATATTGTATAGTTTTATGAGGCGTCCAATTGCCATAGATTGATTGCCCTTGTCGGGTTAGCTCGGTACTGGAGAAGAAGAAGTCACCTCTTTGGCTCCATTTGGCATCAATTCTGGAAAATTCTCATTCTCAGAATCATCCAGGAAAGAATGAATTCTGGATTTTTCTGATTCTGAGAATCTATGCAAGCATTTGGTACAGAACTCTGATTCTTGATTCTAAGAATCAGAATGAAGTTTGGAATGATCCTATTTCTTTAGATCAATTCTCTAACTGAAAACCTCATCCTTAATCCATCTAAATTTAATTGCCTTTTTCTCAGCTTATAGGTTGTTTATAAACATGCAATTGACTATAGTTCCAATACCCAAATTGGGATTCCTTTAACGGACTACTATGCACAAGTTGATACCGGAAGCAACCTTCTATGGGTGAATTGTATTCATTCCTCCAAAGGACTACTATTTTGCGCTAACTTCATGTTAACATTTCCATTGTACGATTTCCAAAATATTAAATATTTCTGGCTGCAATGTCAATGGTTACTTCCAATACCATGTGGTGTATGGTGAAGGGAGCACAACTTCTGGATACTATGTAAGAGATTTTGTGGGTTATGCTGAAGTATCTGGAAACTTACAAACAAAACCAGCAAATGCAAGTGTTATATTTGTGCAAGTCAAATTAAGGTAGAAGACAATGAATAGGCTATAACATTTCTGTTAGATTGGTAACAATCTAACATTTCCAAACCATAGAACTTATTAGATTGGTAACAATCTATAACATTTCTGTCTTCAGTCGCAAGGTAGAAGGCAATGAACAGTGTCTTCTATTGAAGGGTAGTTTTGACATTTCCAAAATTAACTGACAAACTGTTAACGACAGGAACCTATTAGACAGTTTTTGGAAGTTCAAGTACTGCAAAGACACGTTTTGAAATTCGGGGACTGACTTAACCCCTAAACTACAGGGTACTGATCAGGAATTTTCCCTTTGATTAAAACGAAGACATGAGCCTATTCGACATTTTGCACGAAATTAGAACAAAATGCCCAATCTCGTCGCCAGTGTTTTAAAAGCACAAGGCACATGGGTCAATTTGTGCCCGAGGTGCAAGGTGCAAGGCAAGGCACACGCCATTTTTAAGCAAGGAACAAAAATAAAAAAATGCTAAAAAATGTTAGAAAAATAAAAATGCCAAAAATGAAAAAAATGAAAAAAAAACATAATATTAATAAAAAATATAAACTTTAAATTTTAAAATAAATGTTTTAAAAAACCTATTATCTAAAATTAAAATACATAAACATAACATGTAAAGCATATTCAAATGTGAATTTAAAAATTAAATGAAACATATAAAACATTTTTAAGCATGTAAAACCCACAATCTCTTTTTTTTTTTTATCTCAATTGCATTACTTAAAGTAGCTAATTTGATGTAAAATATATTACATTCCTGATTCTACGAGCCGCCTTTGTGCCACACCCCTCGAGGCAAGCCTAAACAAGTCCATGTTAGGGTCCTATATTCTTAGCTCTTACACAAAAAATAATGATTTTATAATTTCATTCATTCATCCTACTAAAATATCTTCTTAAAAAGCAATTAAAATTATAAAATCATTATTTTTTGTGTGAGAACTAAGAATTTAGGACCCTAACATGGACTTGTTTGGGCTTGCCTCGAGGGGTGTGGCATGGGCCCAGCCGCTAGGTTCAAAAAAAGCAAAAAAGCATCAAACTTTCAAAAGCACACACTTGGGCTGAGGAGCAAGGCGCATCAGGCGTGCACCTTTTGAAATGGCTGAGCCTAGGACCTGGGCAAGGCACCTGCTCTAAAATGCGCCTCGCTTGTGCACCTAGGTGCGCCTGAGTCACACCTTTTAAATCACTACTCGTCGCTCTTCTATTCTGTTGTAATGCAAGTAGGAAACTTCACCATTTTAATCGTGTGTTCAGTTTCGTCCTGATAAGAATCTTTTCATGAGATTTTTTGGCATTTCAAACCCCCAAACCCCTTAATCTCATCCCAAAATTCCCAAAATCCTTCTCTTGTTTATTATAGTTTTTCTTGTTTATTGCATTTTTGTTTGAATTTTCCATATGTTTTACTGAAAAATGATTAGCATTTGAGTTTCCCATTGATTCACATTTTTCCTATTCGCTTGAGCTTCATATGAAGTTGGTTTGGCGTTTGAAACCCCCAAAAACCCCAAAACCCCAAAACCTATTTTCTTGTTTGATTACCATTTATTTTCTTGTTTGAGTTTCTTATTTTCTTGTTCATGTTATTTGCAGGTGTTAACACCATCTCATCTCTAATCTGCTCTGCTCCAAGCATCACCAATAGTAAGTTTTGTAGTTTGATTTTTTTTTTTTTTCAATTTTGATGTATTCGGATCCGCTCTAAGTGTCATTATGTTCTTTTTAGTGTGTTTTGTAGTTTGACTTATTTTAACAGTGAAATGACATTCACTGGCACCAACAAGTGTTATCAATATGTTATTTGTTTTGTAGTTTGATTTCTTAGAACTGTTGTACTTTTCTTCAAGTCGTCTTGGTTTAATTTGGATGACATATTAAAGCCATTCCATTTAATTTGTATGGTTGAGCTTCGAATTATAAAGAGGATTTACTCTGTTCCAAAAATAAATAAATAAAAACTGACACCCAAACGAGAAGGTATTTTACATTTTAATAAAACTAATTCTATAATGATCCATTTAAATGAAACCCTCAGCACTCTAGCCATATTTCTCACTTCTCTTAACTTGTTCCTATTCTGCCATGAATCATGAAGGTTGTGTTGGAGCCATCCTTTATCCAATGATTGAAATAATGTGATCAGTTGACCAATAGGACATACTCCAGAATTTTTACAGGTCCATTACACATTTCTATATGGGAAAGACCAAGCTATGCCCATTAATGTTTGAAGCCATTGTAGCAAACATTGTCATTTACATACTTAGATAAAGATAACAGTAATCTGAATTACTCAAATATAACACTTGCATTTGCTGGTTTTGTTTATAAGTTTCTTGATACTTCAGCATATCCCACAAAATCTCTTACATAATATCCGGAAGTTGTTCTCCCTTCACCATACACCACATGGTATCAGAAGTAACCATTGACATTGCAGCCAGGAATATTTAATATTTTGGAAATCATACAATGGAAATATTAACATGAAGTTGGCGTAAAATAGTAGTCCTTTGGAGGAATGAATACAGTTCACCCATAGAAGGTCACTTCTGGTATCAACTTGTGCATAGTGGTCCTTTGAAGGAATCCCAATTTGGGTGTTGGAACTATAGTAAATTGCATGTTTATAAACAACCTATAAGATGAGCTGAGAAAAAAGACCTTAAATTTAGATGGATTATGGATGAGGTTTTCAGTTAGAGAATTGATCTAAAGAAATAGGGTCATTTCAAACTTCATTCTGATTCTTAGAATCAAGAATCAGAGTTCTGTGCCAAATGCTTGCATAGATTCTCAGAATCCGAAAAATCCAAAATTCATTCTTTTCTGGATGATTCTGAGAATGAGAATTTTCCAGAATTGATGCCAAATGGAGCCAAAGAGGTGACTTCTTCTTCTCCAGTACCGAGCTAACTCGAGGAGGGGGTAATCAATCTATGGCAATTGGACGCCTCATAAAACTATACAATATGAACCCTTTCCCTCAGACTCCTCCCCCTTTTCTTCTTCACTGCCAAAGCAAAACAACAACTATTTCCAATGCCATTATCACTCCCATCTTCCCCAATCCATTTCTCTGATCTCTTCACTTGCCACCAAATCACTCATCGACAATTATTTTCATTGCCATCTGAGAATCCGCCCTAATTATACCACTGGTTTGAGCTGTGAAGTAGCAAGGGCCAAGCGTTTGATCCAACCTTCACCACCACTGATTGAGCAACCATTTTCAGACATTAGCACTTGTCATCTAGCTGGGCACTGCATCTTGGATTGACAATTCCCAATCGAGCTGCTTGTCTTCTCTGTATTCTTACTCAAACTTGAACAGTAGCTCGATTTAATCAGCAACTCCATATGGAGTCGCAGTCATCCGCTTTGCCCCACCCTTGCCTCATTGACATTATAACCTGAAGGTGGCAGCAGGGAGGGTAAGTCCTTTCCACCATTAATTTCCCATGAGTTCCTTCATGATAGAGTAGATGAGGGGATACTCTTGGTCGGTTGAAGTTCTCTGGTGCTTGTATAGGTCAAGAACACAGCACTGAAAGCTACCCCTCTCTGTGTGCTATTTTACATTATGAACTTTTTGAAGAATTTAGGCCCCCATAATTTTCATGTTTTGAATATTTTTCTTTTTGAGAAAAGATAACTATTATATTCAAAAGGGGCAAAAAGGGGGGGGTGTACATGAGAAGATGTACAAGCAACCATTAGGATCTCACAACTATAATATCATCCCACTTAAGGGGGAAAACTATTAGCACTATATAAAAAATTTCTATCCGCCCCAGATTTAGCGAAAATATCCGCAATTGAGTTCAGCTCCCTTAGATTCCATCTAAAGTCGCAATGTAGAGGAGAGGTTATTTTTGAGATCTCATTGAGGAAATGACCCAACCTCCAAGGGCCCTTTTCTGGGTGGGAAGCCCAATTAACAACATTTCTGTAATCTCCCTCAATGAGAACAGAATTCAGCCGCTAGTGGTTGGATGGAAGATGATCTACTGCTGCCATCAAACTTCAGTAAGAAATCTAGATCTGGTCTTGGAGTGCTGGATTGTCCGGGCTGATTGTCAAAGTGGGAGGAATGTACTATCTCTAATAAATTTCTTTCAAGATCAGGATAACTGAAACCTCTGAACTGATCAGAAGAGAGAAGTTAGGAGAAAATGTAAGAAAAGATTCTTTCTCTAATGGCCTCCATCCTAGCAAACTTGTTGTAAAAAATTCTCTTGTTATGTTCATCCCAGATACACCACATAACAGTATGAGTTAAGGATCTCCAAAAGGCTTTACCTCTTGAACCCTTTTTGCAAGAAGGCCACTGATTAAAGAAGCTTGCCACACTATTGGGAGGAGCCCAATAGAAACTAGCACAAAACATCATATCAAGGAAGTATTGCCAAAGAGACTGAGCCACCTCACAATTTATAAGTGGCTATACTCACCATCCTTCATGCACATGACACAAATGTGGGGAGAGAGGTACTGAGATCCTAATCTTCTTCTTTGTATCATGTCACAAGTATTGATACACTCCCATACTGCTTCCTAAATAAAGAAAGAGACATTGAGAGGTACCACACGAGGCTAAATTCTGTTGACCAAGAAGGCAGGAGGGGTTCCGGAAGTAAGGTGGGTGAAAAAGGATTTAGTGGAGAAAATGCCATTGGGAGATAAAGACCAGATATGCTTATCAGGGAGGTGAGAAGAGAGAGACTCCATTTAATGAGAGAAGGGAGGAGACTTCTTGGGCTTCAATGTCCATCAGGGCTCTACGGAAATTGAGATTAAAGGACAAACCTTGGTTATCTCTAACTAGGACATCAGAGGCTAGAATTGCTTTGATTCTGGATGAAAAAAGTCATCCGAAAGGCTGATTCTTGGGAGCCCAGATTTTTCACTTATAAGGACCGGTAATTCTCATTCTGCAGTTTCTCACTACGTCCTCTTGAGAATTACGAACATGAGTGCCTCATGTGTGAACATGGGCACTCCCGTAATTTTGCACTACAATGCATATCTTGTCAAAAGCACTAACCTCGTTCATTGTTTTCTCCCACCCCCAATGTTCCTCTTCTCCAACGGTGCTCTCTGCAACTCTGGCGACCTCAGGCTTCATCTTCTTCTTTTACTTTTTCCACTTTTGAACAACATTACCCCCAAAAATCTCACTGATCTGATTTCATTTTTTCCCTCTTTCTATTTCTTATTTCTACAGGAGAGAGTGTCTTGTACTGCAAAGGAGAAAGGAAGGGCTCTATTTATTGACCGACGTGATAAATTTATATTTTTGCAAACAAACAAACAAACAAAGGAATAAATAAATATCCTCTCTTCTTTACTATACCACACCGTCTCTCGTTATCTTCCTTCGAAACTCCAATGCTGTTACGCTCGCTTGCTCTTTGGTAATTACTCCAACTCTGATCTGGGTATTCCCTCAGATTTCTTTCTTTCTGTTGTTAGTCCATCAAAATGATCTCGGTTTTATTGTATTTGTCTTGATTTTGCTCCGATTTTTTCAACAGATCTGTTTCTTCTTGATGGGGTTTTATTTTATAGTTTTTCATTTTGATTTCTGGAATGGATTGTGATTTCGGTTCTTTATTTTCTGATCTGTTATTGTATTTTTGGTGATCTTGGTATTGGTTTGTTTTTTCCTGGATCAGTTCTTGGGATGTTCTAATTTTCAGTTTTTGTTCCTTTCTAATTAGAATTTTATTGGAAATATCTGACGGATTTTCCTTGTTCTCTGTTTTCAATAAAAAATGAACGTTTCTTTAGTGGGTCGTCAAGAACCCTGTTTTCGAATGTCAGTAACTACACTAGTTGTTACAAAGATATAATTATCACTGTTTCAGTGTTTTGTAACAGTAACTACACTAGTAGTTACAAAGATATAATTGGTTGGAATCTCCTATTCTCTTCAAAGAAAGTTTCTCTCATTTTCCTTGGTTAAATATTTCCTTGATTTGAACTTGAGAGGCAAGAGTTGCACTGCATCTGCCATTTTCTTCCATCTCCAAGACCATCTTCCTTCTAGAATACAGTTACAACACAACTTTTCTTTGGCATAGCAATCTTGTAATCTGATAAAACTTCCCTTGCGGTTTCCATCTACAATTGCCATTAACTGCCACCCATAAATTTCAATTTCCATTAATTCTCCAGTCAAGACCGTTAAACCACACCACCAAGCACCAAACCTTTTCTCCTTCTTTGATCTTCCCAGAGTTCCATTCTTGTTTTTAGTCTTCATATAAAACTCTTTGCTCTGATGTCCACAAATCTTCTTCTCACATCCTTGAAGCTCCCAGAATGCTTAAACAGAAACTGTCAAAGTTAAGTTTTACCCATGGAATAATGTATTTGATCTTAATTATATACTTTATCCCATGGTTCCAACCTAAGTGGATTGGCAGTACAAGGCATTTTGTCAAATTTCCTTTATTATGATCATTTTCTTATGTTAAAGAATTGTATTACAGAGTTATAACATATATTTAAATTATCATCTCCATCTACCCTAGCCACCTTAACACTTGAGTGGTGCTGGCAACAAGAATCTCATGTGCTACTACCACTACCACCACTAACAACCATTGACCATTAACTCACTGGAGGAAAAAGAGAAAAAGGTTGGGGGGAGGGGTTGACACTCCCTCTTTCAACACCTTGATCATCGTGCACTCCTCTCATCTAACCTTCAACTTTATGGGGTATTGTGGTTCCCTTAAATCAGCTAGTGTTGGTGGAAAATGAAGTCTCCAACAATGAGATAAATTGCAATTTGGACTATTGTACATGCAGCCAAACCTGCAAATCATTTAGAATGAATTCCTTTGGAGTAACTTGATCTTGAGAATTCATATATTATGCAAGAAAATTGATTTTTTTTTCTAGGAAAACTGCACAGATTGTCAAAAGATCTTGAAACCTTTCATTGAGGGAAGATTCTATTTGCATCATCTCATGCTAATGGAAATGAACTATAATGTTGCAATTATTGATGATAACACGACATGTTCAGGATCAGATCTGTGCTTTGTGTGTCACTTCCGAAAATGACTGCTGCCCACCTTTGGTGAACTTAAACGAACTGATATTTAACCTTGATATCCTTTTTGTACAACAGTCTATACAACACATCTAAACAAGACAAGTTGGTATGAGATATGGACGCACCAAGTAAAGAACTAATTACTTTGGCTCTAAGAGAACTGTCAGTCTAGTTTTAACTCCATTTGTACTTATATTTATTAGAATTGCCATGGTTTTGTCAGAGAATTGATTCAAAGAAATTGGTTGCTGCCAAACGTGATTATGTTTCTGAGAAACATGAATCAGATGACTGTGCCAAACAAGATTGGTGATTCTCAGGATGAAAATTATCAGAATCCATTCTTTTCTAAAAGGATTCTTAGAATGAGAATCCCCAGAATTGATGCCAAACGGGGCCTTCCTGTCTAGAAACTTGATTCTCATCCCAAACAATCACTAACCCACCCGATGCCCCGGAGGAGGCAATCGAAGCCCAATGTTTACCACTAACATTACATAAAGCCTTAATTAACCTCCTATCAACAGACTCTTTTTTAGTTTCCTGCAGAACAATTATATCCGAGTTTAGCTTCTTAAGAGTGTCTTTCACTAATGCTCTTTTACCCTCTCCACCTAGTCCTTGCACATTCCAAGAGACGATCCTCATGGATTATCTGCAATAGGAATCCCTGCTGCCTTCTTTCTACCAGCCTTACTCTGAACCCCATTCTTCCATTTCAAATTGCTCTGAAGTTTCTTCAATTCTCTAACCGATCTAGGTTTTAGAGAGTTTCCATCCTCTCCCAAAAATTTTTCTGTACTCCATTTTTTTTTCCTTTCTTATCTACCAAAGAGATTCCCAACACCTCTGCTACCTTATCTGTATCCATCTCTGAACCATCCTTGCCATTAAATTCATCAACCTCCAAAGTCTGGACTTCCAATAATGGTGTTGATGTAGAAGAGGGAGGAACAATAGCAGGAGGGCCAAAACCTGTGACAAAACTGTGGGGGGGGGGGGGGCTGCCAGAAGACGAGTGACAAGGCATACATTCAAGAAAAGGAGAAAATAAAGCAGAGTGACTAGGGGGGACAGGGGAGATAGTACTTCGAACTTATTCATAGCAATACTAGGTCCTTGAAGGATTTGTCTTGTGCGAGGATTCGGGTCAGAGCTTGAAAAACCTGTCTAGAGCCTAGATCGATCCCTATTCATGAGAGAAACATCTGGTTTAATATTAGAATTTCAGTAAGGAAGACGACTGAGTCAACTCAGAATCGCTCGCAAAGTCACCAAAGCTCAGACACTCGGCCTTCTTTGGCCCAGGCAAATGGCACTTTCAAAGATGATAAAGAACACCCCACTTTGCACTCTAGCCCTTTGGTGGAAATGAGGTTAAATGAGAAGGATAATTAAAAGATTCCTTCTACTTAAAAACCCAAGCTACCTCAAATCCTGCAGCTCTCTGGTTCTACTCAAGTGACCACTTGGAAGATCGGGGATGGAATCTCTCACAACAGATTTGCTAGCCTGGAACAGTTAGGGGAAATGTACCCGAAGAGTGAAGATTCTCCCACTACCCCTGTACCCTCTAGGTGTTTCGGCTGAAATGCCTCCTTTAGAGTATGATGAGCACTACAAGGTTCTTTGTCATCCGATGCCCCCTTCTGATTGCTCCGATCAGGAAGAAGATGACTCTGATGACTCATCAGAGCCTTACAGAATGGAAGCTGAAGCCAACCTTTCTGGAAGCTACAGAATCAAAGAGTTGCACTCAAATGTTTCAGCAAGCACCAGAAGTAAGATGACTGAGCCACCTTCTTTGACCGGCAAGGCTGGAGCTGTTTCCCGAGAACCCAGTCCGTCTCTGAACCTCCAATCTCAACACAGGCTTTCCTGCTTGTTTGATTTCAATTGTTTGAATTGGTGGCAGCACCATGTTTGTTCCTTACTTTCTTTGCTACTCGAATGCATGATCAGGACAGGTCTTGATTGATGATTCTGATGATACAAAATAGCTTTATGAGATCTTGACCAGAATAAAAGATCTGGAGCAGATCCCATCATTTGCTATGGGAATTCTCTTATAAAGTGTATGTAACAGCCTTATAATGTTCATCTTCTCATTGTTTTCTGATCAGTTATCCTGACTAATATTAAGGAGATTAGGTCTGCTGCACTCTTGGTTAAAGACATGCAATACTAGATAAATTTGCAGTTTTGGATTGAGTTTCTTGCATGTCTTGGTGGCTGTCAAATTTGAACGTTAATTTTCCTTCTTGACTTTGCTTCCCTTCGAATAATTGCCTCGAGTATTATTTCTTTTTTTTTCCTTGGGGATAGATGCTACTTCGTTTCCTTGTTAGAAGTCTTTTTTGTCATTTGATTCTTAGTTCCTGTCAATAAAAGTGGTGGGAACCTTGGATAGAAAAGGAGGAAGGGTGAATGCCTCTACTCCTTTGCCTCCTATAAGGGTCCCCACACTCAGAAAGGGGAACTAAAATTGGATGGCTCAAGAAACTCCCTCTCCATGTTGAAATTTGGCATAAAATTTTGGAATGATTTGCGGCTCCCTTGTTTCGCTTTGTGTTTTCTTAGATGCTCTTTTGGGAATTTGTCATCTACATTGGTAAGGGAGAGGGGTTCTTACTTCCTGACACCTTCATTTTCTCTTCCCCAACTTACCTAGAAAGCTTTATTTAGTCATTGGAGTCGCTAAAATTTAAAATGATTTTTAGTTCTAAAATTTGAGAGGCCCATCACTCTCAACTTTCAAATTATGTTGGATGGGGACTCCAAAATCTAGCCATGAAGTAAGCCTTCCCATGCTCACATTCATTATATATAGTTTTGCATGGAAATGTTTGATATAGGTTATTTGGTAATGATTTCTTAAATCTTTAATTGTTTTTATTTTACTTATAAATTTTTATATTTATCATCATTAACATCATTTTTTCATTGGGCGATGTAATAGATATTCTTCTGACCCCCTCTCTCTCTGACACTTTATCTGCCTCTCTTTCTCAGTTGCTGAACTTGAAACGATCAAGATAAGAAAGAAAAAATTCCAAAAAGTTTTTGATGGCATTGAGACGCTTCTTTGGGTTTTCTGATGGAGAGCTGATGAGATCAGATGCAAAGCCATGCTCAAGATTAATGAGACACACAGCTGGGGTTTTCACTGTGGGAGGAGCATTAGCTTTCTGGGTTCTTTGTAGATTGCATTATGGTTAGTACGTTTGCCTTATATTTTCCTATTTTTTAATTTTTTATTATTAATTTGGTGTTTATTTGATACCCTTATTGTTTCTGTTATTGGCCCTTAGCATTTTATATATTTTGCAGATAAGGTGACTACCCATTTAAATATTTAATTTTTTTAATTGATCAAAATATTGAAATCAAAAGAAAAGAAGATAGAATAAATATAATAGTACTCTCCTACTAGAGTACAAAGATCTACTAGTTTCCTGGGTCCTGCCCTGAAGGGCAGGCCACAATATAATTCTGCCCATCTGTTCCTCCCTTGCAAGAGAATCATCTAGGGTTCTGGCTCATATTATGATGCATCTAAACAAGTGTTAAGCCTTGAGGGCAGAGATGTAGGCTCTCTAATAATGGCAAAACATATAGATGAGTAATCTGTTTTTTCTTTTTTTTTTTTTTTTTTTTTTTCCATCAAACCTCATCGTTTTGATGCACGAGTTTTTTTCAAGACTTGGATTTACAAGGCCATAAGTAAAATGACAATGAATAAATAGCAAAAGCACATATTGTCTTTTAACATTTTTTTTTTCACATTCTCAGATTAACCATTATATGCGTGTTATCTCATTAGTTGTAGTCTTTGCCTTTTGTTTTCCTATTTGTATTTGGTAGCAGTTGACATTTGTTTCTTTTATGCATTCTCTTTTCTCATTTGAAGTTTTGTTTCTCAATTTGTTGGCATATTTAAGGTCTATTAATGGTAAGTTTCACTTCTAATTTTTAGTAGTATTTTGTGTTTACAGAGCTTCTAATCAAGCTCCACATGTTGCCAAGTCAATTTATGTGTACTTCTATTTTTATCAGGGTAGGGGGACATTGCTTAGGGCTGTCAATGGGTTGGGTTTGGTTCGGGACAGCCTTTTAGGCACAAAATATATAAAAATTAGAAAAAAACTGGGAAACCTTTATATATTATTAACAAAATAATCAGTTCAGGTCTGAATTGGTTTGGAACAAGCAAGAACCAGAACTGACCCAACTAATAATCAGGAAAAAATCACAGAGCCAGAACCGATATAATTGGTTCAGTCGGTTGGGTAGAACCAACCCATTGACAGCCCCAGCATGCTTAGTGCAATGGTAAAATTCAGTCTGACAAGTTTGATAATGCAGGTTAGTGTATGAGAGTAGCCACTTTGTGCGGAACATGCCAAAGATTACGTCCATATCCAGTGCACCCCTCCCAAAACCCCAGAGAGCCATGGGAGGAGTAGACTGGATATGGTCGGCATTTTTTGCACAAAGTGGCCACTCTCAGACTTGAACCCACATTCTCACTCTTGCCAGCCCTAGTATTCTAAGCTATTGTGATTACCCAATGTTGGCTAGCAATTACTTGTTATTTTAATTTATATCTCTTTTTTCCCTTTTCTGACAAGTATTCTAAGCTATTGTGATTGAGATCATGTTACTTATTTCTTCTGAAGAAACTCGATCTATATCATCATACCTTCTCTCTTGCCAGCCAATCATGGATGTACACTCTAAAATGGCTCGACCTTCTGATTGTTTAGGCGTAACTGCATACTATTGCACTGAGGGTTTTTTGGTAACTATACTATTGTATTGAGTTGTAGCCATGCATTTTTTCTTGTATATATGTCCATTACCTATTTTATTTATTCGATATCTGGTGTTTTTCATACTTGCCTTGTTTCTATAGGTCCAAGAATAACGGTCCCAAGGAGTCTTAGGTGGGCTGCTTGCGGAGCTGTATCTATGAGCTCAACTTCAGCTTTATTGGTTCGCCTCTTTAGTCCAGAATGTGAACCCCAAAATATAGCTGCTTATGATAAAGGAAAGTGAAATTATGCCTTCTGTATTAGTTGTTTTGTCAAATTAATTTTCTGTATCTCTTTTAGAAGATTTTTGTAGTACATTTCTCAAAAGGGATCAGCATGGGGTTGAACTTCACTGGAATGAATCAGGAGATGCTTCCCAAATGGATATCTTTCCCGTTTTGAATTAAGCCTATGGAGATGTTAGTGTGATATGTGAATCTGGTTTCTTATTTTCTTTACTTTTGGATCTATGGCTTAGTTGGGAAGGAGTACAAATACAAGTAGAGTGCAAAACCTTGTATTTTGCATGTATTTGTATTGTAAATATTTGTATTTGTACTCTTACCAAACTAAGGCTATAGGTTAATGATCATACCATGGTTTTTAAAACGACCCGGAGACCAAACTGGTAAGGGGTCCGGTTACTGGGTCGAATGGTCTGGCCGTTCGAACCGAATGATCGGCCTGTTCTGACAAAAAAATAAAAAATAAAAAACAGTCAAAACCGTTTGAACGGCTAACCGCCTGGGTCAGTGGTTTACTGACCAAAATCAATGGTTTTTGAAAAAAATCTGATTTTGGGGAAAACCGGAACTGGTCACCTGACCGGCTCCCAGTTTTTCTGGTCTAACCATCCGGTCCGATCCGATTTTGAAAACCATGGATCATACAATACAACAAGCAGTGATCTTTTTATTTATTGCGAAACCATGCTAATTTTTTTTTTTTTTTTTTCCGGTAGAAAACTATGTTAATCTATGCATAACTTTCTTTATATGCAAACATTTCCTATTGCCTTTGTCCAATGTCAAAGCCAGAGCTTAACTAGTAATGAGTGAGTTGACATGATGTAGTTTTTCTACTTTAGGTTCTGCTTCGAGTGACGACGCATCAAATTGGCATAGAAATTTAATCGACTAATGCAAATTGTCTTCTTTTGCTTGGCTACTGTGCCTACTCATTTCAGGGTTTGGCATGCTCAATTTATGCATTGTTTTTTATAAATTGTGTTTGATAAATGTTAATGGCTCTCTTCTTTAATATGATTTTTTTTATTGTCAAATAAAAAAAATAGTAGTCCTTTTGCATTTTTAATATTTAATTCAGTTTTGAGTCAAACAGTAAGACGCCACTGAATTTTGAGTCAGTTGAGCTTTCATTTTCCAATGGGACTGGTTGAAACAGATTACATTGCGTTTGTGAAGTGTTTCCTTTATCTAGCAACAACCTTGAGAGCCATTAGTCTAGTTCCAATCCAATTCCCAATTTATTCTACCAAAAGAAAAACAAATGTTTGTAGAGGTGAAAGCATTATTCCCATTACATTCTCAGTCTCAAGTTAATACTATTTCCTTATTGTTTTTCCAATTTGAGTACCGATGAAAGAATTCAAAGAAACATCTCTATAAAACCATTGATCATCACTATTTGTCTAGAAAATTCTAATCAAATTCAAAGGCAGAAGATAGTTTCCACCCCGAGACAACTGGTTGTGAAGAAAAATTGAAAATGGCTCGAATCATGTTTTCCAATTAATTTTGGGAAGCAATTAGTTTTAGAAAGCATCTGCTCGCTCAACGTGATGCCCTTTGAATCTAAACGGAGAGCTTCATTTTGATGCCAGTCTTTGAATCAAACATCTTGCAGCCCTCTGTATGTACTTGAGATGAATTGCCGAAATTTCTCTAGATTGCAATTTCCAAGCTTAATTAAGTTTGGAGTTCAACTATGTACATTTGTTAATATTGGTTGCATGTTAAATATAGATTTCAACCAATAGTGTTGAAGTCTGTTTTTCATTGATTCACATTTTATAAAGTGTATTTCATATTTAACAAGGTATACTTACCATCGTGTTCAATCAATCATATCTTTTGCTGTATAGTGCGATGGATGCATCATAGATTTTGCCTAAATTTATTCTGATTATAAGGGTTGAATTGGCCATGAGTCATGACCAATGAAGCTAGTTAAGGATATCAACTCAGGACTTCTTCCAACTGAGACGAAGTTGGACTCTTAACTGATGGAGTTAAAGACTGGATGGAATATTCCAAGGTCTCACAGCCTTCCTTGACCCTTGCCATGGAATCGGATCTGCTACTCATGCTACTTCCAACATGATTTGTAGCCACACATCTCAAACATGATTGCTGTCTATAGATCATGTTGGAAGCAATATGGGTAGCGTCTTGTGGGTAGGGGATCCGGATTCCTTACGCCCTGAGGCCCTCTAATGGGTTCACAGACACCATAAGGCTGGTGTAACTTGTAAGGCTTCCAATTGGATATATATATATATATATATATATATATATATATATATATATATAATAGATAGATAGATAGATAAATAGAGAGAGAGAGAGAGAGAGAGAGAGAGAGAGAGATGTTCACGTACTAATGACCTAGTTGGGTATTCCCCGATCTGAGTTGTAGCCTGGCCCAGCTTGGCCCACAAAACCTAGGGCCATGCCTGGTCCAGAATATAGGACTGAAGTCTAGCCAGCAGAAAATAGGAATCTTAAATGTATTTTATAATAGAAAATATATGGTACCTATATATCTGCAAAATGCATATAAGGAATATCACTAATTGATATAGAATACAGATTCGATTTATAGGTTGTGTGGGTGCGGCTCGTCCAGGGCCCAGCCCAAGGTTTTCCTACATAGTGGACTGAGCCTGGGCTCAAGATATTGGGCTGAATTTAGAGTCTGGTTCAGTTCAAGCCCAAAGTATCCATAGGGCAGGCAGTATGCTGGGCGTGGGTGGCCTGATTCTCACCACAACCAAGATATGATGTCTCATTTCTCATTCTATTTAGTTGACAACCAGAATTAGAGTAATAGTCGGACTTTAGCATTGGTGTGGAATTCTTGTTAATTTAAACATTGGATCGGACCATCTTCTTTAGTGATATTTTAGACTTTTAGCTTCAAAACCTTTTAGTTGTAATATTTTCTCATTGTTTGGATTTCTAGGGCGGATTTGGACATAAATTCCTTTCCTATCTTGATTATGCTGATTTGACATAACTATTCCTTTTTTTTGATAAAACAGCAGCGACTACACAAAACCAGGTTTTAGACTTCCTAGGAGGTTCCCATTATAGCCCTATTATTGCCCAAGCACACATAACTTTAGTGTTTTGATGGAATCGGGTGCATTAATACCGGTATGATCTTACCTAATATAATTACTCAATTATTTCAAGTTCGAATTCACATCTCCGCCCCACAGAGAACCGCCTCACAATGCCCCGTGCCACATTTTCGCCGTGTTTTGGAAACATCTCCCAATGATGACATAATCAATTCTAATACTATTACCGGGAGATATTCCCAATACATAGCAGAGATATGATGTGGGGCGGAGATGTACTCATCATCATCATCATCATGGTCATGAATTCTGAACATTCAAGTATTCTTGTTCTATATAGTGTTGCATGGACATTTATTTAGGAGAGTCCATGCAGCATTGGTTTTACCACAAAATGAACCCGAATTGTGGAATTGTGAAATTTGTAAGATAGAAGATTTCTATTCGACCAGCAACGCAGTAAAGCAATATACAACCTGATCCAAATACAATGTAAGACTGATTTGTAGTTGGACTAATAAAAGAGTGGAAGTGAAATTGAATTCTGCCCAACCCAATTCTATAGATTTCAAATGACACTTCACCTTGTTAGGAATTTCCATTCATATTGTCTCACACTGTCACACATCAATCCACCCTTCAGAAAGGAGTGGCAAGAACAGATATGGAAAGATAAAAGGCAAGCTGGTAACATCATTTGGTTAAAAGTGATTAGATGGAATATATATACCCATTAGTAAAATTAGTTTGAATTTTGTATTTTTTTTTCTGAAGAGGTTCAAATTTCCAACAAGTTATTTTGAATTCAATTTGTTCATAAAATACAATAATTATTTTAATTAATTTCATTAATAATATAAAATATTTTAATAATTTTAAAAGTTCAATTTATTAATGCTACTCAATATCCAATCTCATCTATCTAGGGCTGTTAATGGGTTGGGCAGATCCTAATTATATAGCCTTTTGGTGCACATAATTATGTCTCCCAATTATAATTGTTTGGGATCAGTTTTGGTTGTTCTGATCCGATTAGCACCTAAACCGGCTATGCATAATTATATATAATCATGTATATGTATATTAGCATATAACAAAGATACCCCGTCATAATATCTAATTTTCTATTTCATAATAAAAAATACTTATTTGTGTTAAACTACGGTGCGCTTTGAATATTTTTGTACATTAAATCAAAATCATGTTAAAGATGTTACATTCATTACAAGTTGTATTTTCATCAATTTTTACAAGATATACTCTTATTATTAAAAACTTCAACATCATCAAATATTCAAGTGTGATACATCACTTTTGATGAGGGGAAATTTGGCTCGACCTATCAACATTAGGACACGTGGAAGCGACGTATTGATTGGACGATGACTCGATACTTCCCGTCACTTCAACAATCCATGTCACCTCAGGTACCTTGGGCATCTCGGCCAAGATCGAGGCCCAAGCAACTTGCGATGGCCTGACCTGCTGAGGTGACACAAACCAACTTCTAGAAGCTAGTTAGCTGTCTTCGATCTCTTCGGGATCACAATGCACGTCTGCGAGCCTTATCCTCATCCCACCCAGATCGGGCGGACTCGATAAGCCTTATCAGCTAGCACAAAGTCTACCTCCTGGTGCGGAATGGACTCCTAGCAGTACGGGCCAGAGATCTCGGAGGAGTTTTGTTAGACCCACGACAACTCACCTATATAAGGGCACAAACCCCAACGTCATAATGTACGCACGATTTATTTCTCACCAGCCTACTAGCATACAAGCATTCAGCTCGCACAATAGAGTGCTAACTCAAGCATCAGAGCACGCACACCGGGTAAGCCACCCCGGGTCCTCTGAACCTTTCTCTTTTGTAGTTCGACCAGCCAACAAAGCATACTGACGTCCGAGTTGCCCTCCAGCTAAGAGAATTCAGATCGTGCACCATCAATTAGCGCCGTCTATAGGAACCGTGACATAAAAGCTAAGTTCCTACCTTATTTACTTTCTGCGAATTTCAATGACCTCCCCAAGCACAACAAGAAAGTTGAGATGCCTGTCACCGGGGGGTAAGAGCAACCAACACTCAACCCATAACGCCCCTCCATGACCATTGGATAGGTTACTGTGCCTTTCACTCTTCCAGGAGTGTTAGCAGTACAGAACCCAGCCTTCGTAGCATAGCAAGTCAATGCACCTTTGCCCCATGTGAACGCCGCTCTCCCAGTCACAGAGCCATCTGTGGTTCCTGTGGGATAGAAGCACGGCAGTTCCATGAGCTCATGTTGAGTGTCCAAATCATGAACCTACAGATACAGTCTTGGGAGCAAAGATTTAGAGCATTTATTACACCACTACCTCAACAATATCAACAATACCAACACCAGTTCCCGCCTCTTCCTCGATAGAACCAGAATCAGAACAACTCCAACAGATGCCAATCAGCACCCTAGGGTCCATCTCCACCTTGGGACCTAACACCAGGCCAGCGTCCATCACCACCTCGACAAGTCATAGTCGACCAGCAAAATAACCTGCTGCAACGCAGCCACCAGAGTGATCAGCAGCAAAGATCGCGGAATGAACAACATCGTCAGGACCAACATGAACAACAACTCCAACAACATCGTCGTCAGGACGACAGACAACCGAGCAACCAAAAGCCTAGAGTTAGGGGCGAGGATCCAGTCCGGGACCCTTCCTATCACCTCAGCCATTACGATCCAGCCCGTGCTCGCGAGAATGTTGGCAACCGAGATTAGATCCCTGTTCGTGACAATGTCCAAGACGGAGAGAACACCAAGGTCAAGACTCTGACCAATACTGAGGTAAACAACACAAACGAGGTAACCAAGAAGTGATGCCACCAACATGCATGCCACACCTCAGGTAAGAGTAGCGCTACCCCAACAACGGAAGCAGAGAAAAGAACGGAAGCAGTGAGCTCGATAGCTGCACAGCCGGCTTTAATTCCACTAAGCTGGCCTTCCCCCTAGCACCTGGAATCCTCTCAACCCCACAGCCGAAGAACTTCAAGACACTTGCACTGGTGACTTACGATAGGAATCCAGACCCTAATGACCACGTCGATGGATTTTGGTCTCTGATGCTACTCGCAGGAGCAGATGAGGCCTGTCTCTATGTGGCCTTCTCAACAACCTTCAGAGGAGATGCAAGATTGTGGTACTGAGGTCTCCCCCTAGGCTCGATAAAGAATTGGAAACAGTGCTTTATGACACACTTCGCCACAACTAAGAAGTGCCCAAAGTTTGTCACTATCCTTCTGAACATGGTCCAATAGGAGAATGAGTCCTTAAGGGACTACATAAAAAGATTTAATCTGGAAAGACTATAGGTACCGAACCTTGACCTAGCCGTGTAGTTCGCTGCAGCCCGAAGAGGAGTACGCCACCCTGATCTCCGTTGGCATCTCGAGTTGAGCCCACCTAGTTCTATAGAGGTGTTCCTTGAAGAAGCCGAGAAGTTTATCAAGGCATGAGAGGCTCTCGGGTCTTGGCTAGAGCTGCACTAGGCTGGGAAAAGGAAGAGAACTGAAGAAGAGGCGAGCAACAGCAAGCACCAACGGTGAAAGAGTAAATCGCTAAAGAAAAGTAGATCACCGCACAGTAGGCGAAGCAAGTCACCAAGAAAAAGCCGGTCACCACCTCAGGGTTCTGGATCAGGTCGGCGATCTAGAACCCCTCCAGTCCAGAGAACAAATTACACCACCCTAAATGCAAGACGGGGTGAAATCCTAATGTCGATCAAGGACACCGACTATGTTAAATAGCTGCCTAGGATGTGAGGAGATCCCTCAAACCGTAACCTGAACCGGTATTTCCATTTCCACCGGGATATCATGTACAATACAAAGAGTTGCTACAATCTGAAGGACGAGATCGAGGAGCTGACCTGCCGCGGTTATCTAAGAAACTTCATCAAGTATGAAGATAGAGACAAAGATCATTGGCTTGCCGAGTAGCGGAGAGACACACTAGAGTCGAGCAGGCAGAATGAACGCGACCAAGTACCTCGGGATCCGCTAGCAAAAGAGAGACCGATCCATGGGGTAATCAATGTGATTACTGATGTATTAATTGTAGCGGGTTACAGCGTAGCAGTGGGCAAGACAGCGGTCCGGGAGCTCGAGCACGAGGAGGAGAACCTATCGAAGCGCCCTCGGGTGGAGGAGGTGATCTACTTCACTGAGGACGATGCTCGCGGGATCTAGTTCCAGCATGATGATGCCCTCGTTGTCAAGATGATCATCAACGACTTCAAGGTGAAGCGGATCCTAGTCGATTCAGGAAGCTTCGTAGAGAGAGATGGGAGAGAGATGACCAACCTAGAAGCTAGCGCGTGATCTCCAGAATGCCAAAACTCGAAATGGGACCCCAAGGCCCCTATTTATAGCCGTTGTAGTCGATCATGGATGGCTTAGATCAGCTTGATCCAATGGCTCCCGTGAGAGCGGTCGCACGACTCTCGAGGTCGAAATTGGTTGAGCACGGGTTTTGGCATATGTGGAGTTTATAAATCCGAGTGACGTCTATTCGTCCCCGATATGCGATCTAGCTTTATGGTTGAGCCAGTTGGATCATTACGGTTTGACCTCTGGACCAGACCTCGACCATAATGAAGACCTGGCCAAATCCACCCAGGCTTGTCATGAACTCTCCGCACCAGGTTAGGACCCTAGGCACAGGGAGTGGGGGCAATTGATGAGTGGTAATTTGGCTTGACCCACACCTGGTAAGCCACCTCAGGTCCTCTGAGCCTTCCTCTTTTGTAGTTTGATTGGCCAGCAAAGCAGATCGACATTCGAACTGCCCTCCAGCTAAGAGCATCCAGATCGTGCACCATCAACTTTATCATTAGTTAAAGTTTTTTGCTTCAAGATGCAATTTGTGCAGTATACATTTTGCTTGGTTATTTTCCTCATGATATATTTATAATATCATCATATTATGCTGTTCAAATTTATCAATTCAACAAATAAGTAGGTTTTTTTGTTGGAGTTACAACTTACAAGTTAGAAAATAAGTGTCAAGTATAATTGGGTGTTACGGCTCTCCCCGTCCCCACTCCGCCTACTTGCAAGCAAGTTGCAAGTTGGAAATTATAATTGGGTGTTAAAAAAAAGTGTCAATTATAATTGGGTGTTACGGGGGCCAAACCCGATAGTACCGATTATAGACCCTGGTTCACAATTGGTTCTGCCCATTTAACTATCCCGTCGGACCTACCTTCACCCAATTCAATTTGAACCCGAATATATAATGAATCAAATTTGGATCTACTCATATCCGATTCGATCCGATCCGTTTGAGGACTATAATCTTAATCAGCATGTGTACGAGTTGGTTACGGAGTCAATATGCAGAGACAAAATCAACCCCCAAGAATAGCTAACGGTAGCAACAAACGCAGTTGGACACAGTCTCTCTCCTCTCATGCAAATGACCATTCTCTCTCTCTCTCTCTCTGCATGTATATAAGCCGACCTCTCTGCAGCTCCAGAGCACTCGCTCTTGTCTTCATAGCTTGTCTTCCCAACACCCAAAGAACAGAAACCTCCACTACTATTCAACAATGGCGGCTTCTTTCACCTTCAATACATCTCTCAGCTCTCTTCCCTCTGGCCTCAACGATCACGTAGGACCCTCTTTTTGTCACTCTATTATTTTGCTCGCAATTAATTCATCTTTTTAATTTTGATTTGTTTTTCATTCATGTTGTTGATGGTTCAGAGTCCAAAGCTTCTTCAAGTTGCAAGAGGGAGGCTTGGGTTTAACAGAGCAACGGCTGAGAACGTAAAAGTCTTGGCGGGTAGCAAGAAATTTGAGCTGAGGTGCTCCGGACAGAGAGACATGGATTTCAGCACATCGGCTTTGGTTGATGGCGTAGCTGAGTGCTTGGAAGGTTTGTATTTTGAAGATTTTGATTTTTGTTAATTTTCTTTAGTGGGTGTATTTAATTTTGTTCCATTGCAGCAGATATGGAAGTGAAGGAGCCGAGTGTTTCAACCACTTTGATGAATTTCGGGAATTCGTTTGATCCTTATGATGCTGTCAGCACTCCCCTTTACCAGACAGCCACATTTAAGCAGGTGAGAGTGAGACTGAAGAAACAAGATGAGAATTTAATGGTGGTGTTTTATAATCACTGCAAGTGAAGCTTCATGTCATAATCTGTTAATTTCCTATCTCCATATTTATTTTGCAAAGAGTGAAGATATATAGAATTTTGGTTTCTGGGTTGAGAATTTCAATGCTGAATTCAAGATATTCGTTTTTATGTTTCATATGTTTTGGTTGTATTGCAGCCTTCAGCAACTCAGTATGGCCCCTATGACTATACTAGAGCCGGGAATCCCACCCGTGATATATTAGAAAGGTGAGAGGTTCTGGGTCTATTTGAAGTAGTTCAGCATTGAAAATCTCTGGTCTGTCCTTGATGGTCTTGTTTGTACTGTCAGGTTCCTTGCCAAGCTTGATAAGGCCGAACGCGCTTTCTGCTTTAGTAGTGGAATGGCTGCTCTCTCTGCTGTCACACATCTAATTGGAACTGGTGCTTGTCGACCTTCTTGAATTCTCTGATTTAATTGGTACCAGGCTCTCTTTGTAATCTTCTTGACTTCCCAATTTCAGGTGAGGAAGTTGTTGCTGGAGAAGACATATATGGCGGTTCAGATCGGTTGCTGTCACAAGTACTTCCCAAGAAAGGAATTGTGGTGAAGTAAATATCTTTTCCTACCTTCAACTGCTCTTCCTGATTTTGTAAGTTGTAGCTGCAGTTGATGTTGAGAAAACTTGTTATTATGTGCAGACGAGTGAATACAACTGATCTAGATGAGGTTGCAGCTGCAATTGGGCCATGGACTAAGCTTGTGTGGTTGGAGAGTCCAACTAACCCTCGCCAACAAATTTCTGATATTCGGGTAAGAAGTGTTGTTCTTTAGAATCACTAGAAACTGAAATACAGGGTCTCTTCTTTTAGTCAGACTGACTTTAATTCTTTTTCTTTCTTGTGGGGAACACTTCTCTAATTGATATTGACTTAGTTGAGAGTAAGCGATAAAAGTTTGGCATCCTTTTAGAGGATGTTTTCGATTTTCAGTCTGTTTTCTTTTTCATCCACTCATTTGTTAGAGAATGAAGTTCTGGATTTTCTGAAGGTGCCAGCTAGCTAGATGGTAAAGTCTCTTAGGAAAAAGGTGGATTTTCCCACCAAGAAAAGCTAGCTCTTGAGTCTTGGCTATGCCAACAAATTTGGTATCAGGATCTCTACTAAGATTTTTTCTTTTTTATTGCTGAAAGAATAGAAATATCCATGGTTCCTTTATCCAGGGATTAGTTTTGACACTTTCAGTTTCAAATCCTTTTGTCTTCATATGCATCATTATCATAAAACTTTCACTAGTATATGAAACATACACTTATTACTCTTTTTATCTAATATTGGGATGCTTCTCCAACTTTTCCCCTTCTTTTTCCAGAAAATATCAGAGATGGCTCATGCACATGGTGCCCTTATGCTGGTGGATAACAGTATTATGTCCCCTGTACTTTCACAGCCATTAGAACTTGGAGCAGGTAATTGCATATAGCCTCGGATGAATATATACAGGTTAAAATAACTGCAATAGCCTCCTATTTCAACTTTCACCATGCAATTTTAATTATTCCTTCTTCTTTTTCAGACATTGTAATGCACTCAGCTACAAAATTTATATCTGGGCATAGCGATGTCATGGCAGGTGTCCTTGCTATGAGGAGGGAAAGGTTTGTAACTTTTACCATTTGTTTATAACTATCACATATTTTCTCCATTGAAGCTATTGTTGTTTGACTTCTTTGCCATTTTTTTGTGTTTATTTATTTACTAATCTACTTTTCTGCAATAATTAGCTTGGTCAAAGATATAGCATTCCTGCAAAATGCAGAAGGCTCTGGTTTAGCTCCTTTTGATTGTTGGATTTGCTTACGAGGTATCAAGACAATGGCATTGCGGATTGAGAAGCAGCAGGTGCAACACCACCTTTCCTACTTATACTAAACTCAAATGATTAATTTTTTTTTTTAAATATCACCATTAAATCTTTAACAGAGGTTTAAGGTCGGTTTGATGATTTATATGAAGGATTTTTTTTTTTTAAATATCTTGTCCTGGGTTTTCTTTTTTGTTTTGTTTTAAGACTTTTTTTTTTCTTTCTAATCCTTTATTTAAGTTCTCATAGCTACTGTGGCTTTTACATCCTTCTTCAGGAGAATGCCCAAAAGATTGCTGAATTTCTTGCATCTCATCCTCGAGTGAAGAAAGTTAACTATGCTGGTCTTCCTGGTCATCCAGGACGTTCATTACATTATTCTCAGGTATTTACATTTGAGGAAGTTGGAAGGATGGACAATCAACCAGGAAAAATTCTCTTACATTCCACCTTTTTGCAGGCAAAAGGTGCAGGTTCTGTGCTTAGCTTTGAGACAGGGTCGTTGGCACTCTCCAAGTACATTGTGGAAAATACCAAGTACTTCAGCATTACTGTCAGTTTTGGTAATTATTTCTTCTAATCTCAAAGTTCTTCCAAATGATTTCCAACAGTTTATGGGTTTGATATTCACTGATATGGTTCCTCATTTTTCTTCAATTATTTTTCAGGGAGTGTGAAGTCACTCATTAGCATGCCCTGCTTTATGTCCCATTCAAACATACCTGCTGCTGTCCGTGAAGCCAGAGGTTTAACTGAAGATCTTGTTCGAATCTCTGTGGGCATTGAGGATGTGAATGATCTGATTGAGGATTTGGATCATGCAATTAGGACAGGACCCATGTAGAGTGCTTGTTGATGTCAAATAGTTGATTTTCTGGTGCTTCATTCTACAGGAAACTAGAATGTTTCATGAACAAGCATTTGATCAGCTTGGTTGATAATTGGATTTAGTGGAATTTTTTGGTAGAAATAATTGGATTTAGTGGAATTTTTTTGGTAGAAATAATTGGATTTGGTGGAATTCTTACTCTAAACTATTTGGTTCCTTCTTTTTATTTATGGGCATTCCTAATTTAAATGTGTTGGGTATACTTGGTCTTCATTTCCAGGTTGGAGTAGTTTATACAGTTTTAAATGTCATTTTAGAGTAAAAATGAGCTGAGACTTTATTGATTGATGCAAATCCATTAAATTCAAAACTACTCAAATCTTTGTATTATATGCCATTGACCAATAACTAATACGCCTTGCCTTGAAATCCAATGAGCTTTGAATGAAACTACAAATGGAAAGAATAGACCATTGGCATGCTTCGATTGCATCTTGAATGAAACCATTTCATTTAACCACAATGCGCCTCATTTAAATTGGAATCAATTTAAGAAGGAACTTATGTTCTCAATGGATCACAAGATCATTTCATACCAGGATGGAGAGACAACAAGTAGCATATCTGCTTTGTTTAATTTTTTTTCCCTAAATGGCTCTGCAACACAAACTACTTTAAAGCAAAACCCATTATGGCCATCTCTTGAGCTTGGAGAGGGACTTTGAACAATAAGGATCTCCAATCTCCTAATGAAGTGCTTAAGGTTGACTGCTGGTTCTGGGGACAATATCCACTTCATTGATCCCTCCTGTGGAGAATTCCCTCAACAAGAGCAAGGGTTACCTGGACACATTAATTGTTCAGCGAACTGTGGAACCAATGATAATGTTCCACACGCCAGTAATAAAATACATGGGACCCACACCTTTCACAGTGGGGCCCATGAACTTATTACTGGCATGAAACACTTTCATTGATTCCACAGCCCACTGAACAGCCATCGCGTTCAGCTAATCCGAATTCCATTAACAATGACACGCCTATTCTTGTATTCCACATACTTACTGACTACTGAGAGACTAAGTGGACATCCTCTTGTGGGGGCCCAACCCAAAGGATACTTCATGAAATTAACCACAAGGAAGGGTATGGGCAACAACAGTGAGGACCATAACGGCCCAAATCTCAAAATGGGCCCTCTAAAAGGTATGGAAGATCAAATGCCATATGACAATCCACCATTTCTTATGGCTTCTTACTAGTGTTAGACTTCCAACAAGGGCATTCCTGAAGAAAAGAAAAGTTCAAGTAGATAGATATTTCCAAGATTGTTGTCATGTCTTAGAAGAAGATACTTGGCACATATTTGCAGAATGTGTGATTACCAAACAGATGTGGATGGTTCCTGAAAGAAGCTTTTAAGAAGGTTGCTTGACAATCTAGACCATGATTGTTGAAGGATAATTAGTCCTGTAATTTTAATTCTGCAGCACTTTGATGAGTATAGTTCCATAGGGGAGCGGCCATGAAAATCCAGTAAAATTGTGAGTAGTAGTCAAAGGCAGTGCTTTGGAATGACCTTAAGTCTCCAATTGTCAGGTTTCATGTGGACAAAAGTTAATTCTCTAGTCATCATCTTCCATTGACTGGTTTGTCTTTAGGCCAATGTTTTGAGATCTAAAATAATGAGGTTTTACCTCTCATTTCCAACCTTAGAATTAGCACTGCTGAAGGATGTCTTTATCAGTATCTCTTTGTCAAGTAGATAACATAGAGGGAAAAAAGAAAATGAAAAATTTGGGTTTTCTTTCTAATTCTTTTATGGAATAGTGAACCCTCTGTAGTGTACAAAAAATGGAAAATGAAAAAGAGACTAAGCTGAAAACAAAATAAAAAAAAAGATAGAACTTGAGGCAACAAATGAAATGATTACATTACAGAAATAAAAGAGATTTCAATCCTCAATCAATGAAAAGGTAGATAGTAGCCTTTTATCTATGAATTACACTCTCTCCTAAATGAAACCACACAAATTATCCAAATATTATATGACTGACCTACTCTATTTACTTCTAATGCCAAAATATAGACTAGACCACTTCTTTGGACTTCATGGTTATAGAGAACCATTTCTGTTCACACTGTTTTGAAACTTCTTGTAGACGTCTTCCTTGGGTGATCTATCTAAAATCAATACCCATTTAGTTAGTGAAAGTTTACATACTATTCAATACAAAGACTAAAATTTTGAAGCTTTCTTGATTTGAAATTGCTATGTACAGTCAATCACTTGTTTTCTATAGTTATCTAGTTACCCTGCAGCAGAAAAAACAAAATCAAAAGATCAGGAATTAGTGTTGTCAAAATTGAATGGTATGGAGAATACAAGTCAAAATGAAATAAAGTCGAAATAGGGAGATTTTAAAACTCATTAAAAATTCTCTTTAAAAATTATATGGATGATATTCAAAAAGAGTTTAGAGATATGAATTTGCTGAAATTCCAAATGATATAACGAACTTCTACCCATCTTATACATAAAAAACAAACCAATTAGATTTGTTCATTATAGTAATTATCGATTAAAGAAGTTCTAGGGCCTTCTATATTTGAGATGCAAGTTGGTACATGCAATACAATTTAGCCAATGGCTTTCATTAACAAAACAGTGTGTTGTAATATTGTTTAGTAGGCATACTGGGACCCATTTTTGTGGGATCTAATAGCATTAAGATTCAAATCCTGAATCATAGGATACGAACAAAAAACTGTAGAGTTCTTAAAGAAAGGACTAGGATTCTGATGTCAATGCAAATTGCAAAGGCACATTAATCCTAACTTAAACAGAGAATCTGAACATTTTTACTCGTTTTGAGCTACGTGAATTGCTACAGGACATTAGATGTTTACGAGTTTTGACATGGAAATGAGGTAATTGATAAAAACTTATGAAGTGGAGGATAGGCCATTTATATCTAATCTTATTAGAAGTTGTGATGCTACAGAAATAAACATTAGAGTATATCTTCGACCTACTGTATTCTAAGTTCAAGCAAAGTCTTAATTACTGAGGTTTCCTAGTGCCTGGGGTATGGGCCAAAAGATGCTGGCTGAAGTTAAACATACAAGCATGTAGAAAAGATTAATCTCTACACAGTTATATGAAATAGAATCTGCTTCATCGTACCAAACAAATTCAACATTTCAGAAGTATATATCAACTAAATTTGATCTTTAGTCCATAAGGCTAAACCAACATTTCATCAAGTCTCATCAATCAGAAACATCAATCCAGGGTCATCAGGGATTGGAGGCACTTCTAGAAACCTTTAAGGGAGATTGCTTCTTGTTCATTCATATCTGATAAAACATATCTCCATTATAGAAAGGATATTGGCTTCACTCCAGGGATTGAGATTGATGTTCTCCCTGGGCATCCAGAGGCAGGAGGCAGAGGGAGATTCATAGGTGGTGGTCAGTTGAAGGATGAGGAGGGACGTTGGATCCAGTGACAGCACATCTAAGAGGCTAGATATTTGGTGGATAAAGCGAACATGTCATTGGATTGAGTTCAGAGATCAGCTAATTCTTTAGTAATAGTCTTCCCAAATCATGTGTTCATAGAGCCAAGAATTATTTGGGAACTGCCTTTGCATAGGGAGTTGAGTATGCTGTACTTTTTTAAAGCTTCCAAGTCTGTTGGGACAGCCTTGATATAGGAGTTTGTCCCTTGTCTCAGGCCACCTGTTTTCCATATCAAGGGTTCCCTAATTGCAGCAACAACATATCTAAAAGTGGGTGCCAAGAGAAAGAAACTCACTACTTTGAAAATGATCCATCACCACCAAAACCTTCATAACTTAAGTCTTCTGAAATGGTATCCAGTCTCTTATTCTCTCCTGTTAGACCAAGACGCAAACCATCAGGAATCAAATCAAAGATTTCATGAAATAAGTGAACCATAAAAATCTCACCTTGGCATTCAACCTTCTGAGGGTAACCCAGGAAGTCCTCTACATCTGTTCCTAGGAATGGGGACCTAGAGTAATTCTCCAGTATATCTTGAAGTGATAACAATAAAATAATCAGTATTGACCAACAACAAAATGATCAGAATTGACTATTAGAAAAACAATCATCTTACTGATCGATCAAAATGATTGATTCTGCTCACCAGCACTCTGTGAAAAGCCAGCTGTCAAATCTGAAAGACTGAAATTTCGAGGAATCTGGCTTAAAAATCCAAATGAAGACATATCGTTATCCAGGAGTTCATTCAGGGGTTGTGAGTTGGATTCTATGCCATTGAAAGATGCAACAGATGCATCCCCAATTGTCGGGCGTGTTTCCAGGACATTTCCTTCAGTACCAAAATTAAAAGCTGAACTGTTTGAATATCCAGGTTCTGATTTGATCACCATTCCATTCATTCCTGGCATTATTTCCATATGTGGGTTCTGAGTTGAGAGCATGCTAGTAGAGACATCTATCCTTCCAGTATGAGCAGGAACATCATCAACTATGTGCATACTTCTATGCACCAAGGGCACATCATTTATAAATGCATTAGGAGTATGAGGACCAATTGGATGATGCATATTCTCCAGCCTTGTAGGTGTAACTGCATGCTCTGAGATGCATGTCCGAGTCTGGTTTACTGCAACACAGTGACATCAGATTGCCAGTTGAATGGGTGTTAAAACTCCAAAACATGAACACATAAAGGCATAGTTTTCAAGGCGCCAAGGTGAGGCTAGGCGATGGATTTTTTTTTTTTTTTTTTTTTATGTATAAAACATAGATACTGGGGTAATTCCCTAGGTATCATAACCATATTTCCTTAATAATTAGTCATAAGTTTCATCAGAAAAGTATAGAGTTCATGTTGAAGTATAGAAAATCAAGAAGAAGGAAAAGAAAATTTAAAAAAATATAGGGGCTGAACCCTTATTTTCATATAGGAGAAGAAGAAAAGAAAAGCGTATTATTATTATTACTAGTAGTAGTAGTAGTGTTTGTGTTCATTAAAGCATTTAGCAGTGTTTGTGTTCATTAAACCCTAGCAAATAAGAAAATAATAAAAAGAAATTAGTATATAAACACACAAAATGAATTTTTTAGTTTAATAATGTCTATTTTATAATTATAATGTCAAAAAATAAAGAATAAAAAGTATTTTAAAATAGAAAGTACAAAACTGCTTGGCGATTAGGTGAGGCGAGCCTCAAAAGGGTGCCTTGTCACCTAGGCGCCCGCCTAGGTGTCGCCTTGACAATTATGCATAAAGGCCATCTTACAATATTTTTAGTGTTGTTATCCAAAACCTATATACATCCAGAGAAAAAATTATTAAATCTATAGGTCAATAGTTAAAGCAATGGCAAGAACAAAGCATGGAAAAAGTTGCAGCTGCTATCAAGTGATACTCCCAGAAATAAAACTGATGCATTATATGTGTGTGTGGGTGTAACCCGAAAAGAAAATTTATTTTCTTGATACAGTTTGCAATTGATGGCACAAGTGAGAGTGGGGGTTAGCCCAAAAAAAAGAGAGTGGCGGGGTTCTTAGGATTGAGTTTCGGGATTTGGGGAAGGTTCAGTGCTGTTCCTAAGGTAGGTAAATTGTCCCTAGAGATAAAAAAATAAATCAAGAACGATTAAAAGAGATTCAAGAAGAAAAGAAAATATGCTAGAAGATCTAGCAAGAATGCAAAGAAGCAAGGAGCAATTAAAATAATCACAAATAGTCCATGGTTCAAGAAAGAATGCAGAAAAATAAGATCTGAATGAAAGAAACAAGCAAGAAGTTTTAGATATTACCAAAAAGAAGATAGATGAAAAAGCATAGAAAACCCTTCAAGAACACCAATTCTTAAATATGAAAATTAAATCTTTATTGCAAAGAAGGAATAGCAGAACAGAATTCATGCAACTGACCCTAGATAACTGTGACAAAGCTTAGATGATGATGTTGATTGGAAAAATCTATTACTCTTCCTTCTGATGACTTTACAAAGACGTATTTATAGAAGAGAGGTTTGTCTAGCCCTTAAAGATGCATTTCTAATTCTGTTGCAACTCAAGTAAATAAATAAAAGGGCTCAATTCTCGTCACCAACCAATACCCTATCAATAAAACAATTGTAGCTCTCTCAAAACAAGTTAGATTTACAATATCTTAGTCTGTTGGATAGGTGGCTCAATTACCTATCTAATAACACCAAAATCATGCAAAACAGACAAGTTTTGGATTCTAAGAAATACATTGAAAGAAAAGTGACTCAGTTGTTTTTTTTTTTTGAACTTTTCAAAACTCTAAAATCTCTACAGTAACTCTTTGAACTAGTTTGATCCTTTAACTAACCTATCTCAAAGACACTAATAAATGTTAAATAGCATTTTAAAACTCAAATTGATCAAAAGTTTCAATAGTCCAAAAATTACAAATTTGCCACTAGTAAGGGAATTTTAAAAAACTTGATATCATCTTCCAAGGTTTCATCTCCTTTTCTACATGTACATTGGCTACCTTTTTGAAGCATCTTGAAACATGTACCTATAAAAAAAAGAAGCATTTTGATACATGCATTTTTAGTCATTTTGTAATAATCATTAATTCCTGTTTCTTGTATACTTTTTTGTAAACATTGATCATTGACTAATTTTTGTTCTTGATCCAAAGAAAAAAAATTAAGATGGGTTTAGTTTAACATCAAATTATATCAACGAATACCTACGAAAGTTGCACATTAGTACTCCACTTTTCTTCCTTTTCTTTTTTCACCTTTCTTATGTATTAAACTGGTCAAGATGAATATCTCTACTAAACCACTGATTTAAGGTTTCCATACAGATGGGCCTCGGTAGCAGGATTATTTGCACAGTTGAGTACTAATACCTCGTACAAGGCTCTAGCATCCATTAATACTTTTTTCAGGCCAAGACTGACAAAATGATGCCATAGGAACTACTAGAATAGAATGATAAACATAATAAGTATTAGATTTTACACACAATAAAAACAGTCACAGCATTAAAAAAGAAATCAATGATGTGGAAAGTGTTCATACATTGTGATAAATGAGATCCATTAGAAACAGGTAGAGAAGCAATGCCACCTGTGCTTATTTTATGCATCAATTCAACCTGTTTCTCCAGCAACCTGTTGAAAATCAAAATCTGATTCTTCACCATCAACCTAACATGGTATGCCTTGAAAAATTCCCTATTCTCTTCTTCAAGCTTTTGCCAAACTGGAAAACAAGAATGACTGAAGAAGTAAATAGCATATTCACTTTCTGATGTAACACAAAACAATCTTCCATTAAATAGGTTACTACTAATGGAAATAAAGCTCCTTTTTTCTTGTGAAAGAACTTCATTACTATATTCCCATCAACCTATTTTTTTGCAGCATACTTCCTCAGGAGGAGGGCTGAGGTTGGCCTTTTAAGGGAACTTCTCAATTAGGAGACAGACAAGATAAATTAGTTCTTGGGAATAGAACTTGAGTCCCATGTAAAAGCATCGTCATATTGGAAGAAGGCAACAATTATAACATCAATCTCGGAGATTTGAAGTAGTAATCCAACAATGTTAGTGTGGAGAAATAGACTAGTATTTTAGTGAAGTCCCTGCCATTATCAGTTGTCTTTTCTTTTATTTACTTGTTATTAGTCTTTCTGGGCCTTACTGGGCCTATTATTGTTTCTGTTATTACTGATTAAGGAGTGTGTTGGGCAGCAGGGGCATAGATGTCTTTGTGTTTATTGTTTTAATAGAAGCATATAAATTCTATTTCTGGGCGGCAGAAACCAATTCTAATCTGCGCCCTTTTCTTCTTCACATTCTTCTTCTCTTCTCTTCTCTTTCTCTCTTCTTCTGTTATTTCCTTTTTTTTTTTTCCTACTGAAGCTACATCAGAGTTTTGATCGACTGAGAACATCACCCTCTATCTATTAGACTGAAAGTGGGTGGCATCATGGCCCTACATGATTATGCTCACTGCTGTAAATTTTAGATGTTTGATACATGAGTCAAGAGAAGCACTTAGCACAAATTGATGCAATGCATTTTCTTAATAGCACAAATATCAAAATTTGCTTTTGAAGTTACAAATTTATAATAATTTGTATCATATCATAATGGATAATAGAACAGCATGGATCTCCTTCCCTCCTTTTGTCTGTACACTTTCTCCTGTTATTATGAAAAGGGGACAACACCCTAATTTTCTATTAATATAGTAATATTTGAATTGAAAAAATAATTGATTTAATGCCTTGCAAATTAACTCAAAGGCCAACTAGATCAGACCATGAGTTAACTCAGATAGTCAGATTGATGGCTCACCAAGCTATGCAATTTTAAGTCTCATCACAGGCATTCCTAATTACAGAAAAAGGGACTTGATTCCATGCATGCAGCATAATAAAGTATACATTAATCCACTTGTTGTATCATCGAGATTTATTCCCTTTACGATCCATTCTCAAAATATCCAGCCTTAGTTCTAGGACTACGCTATCCTTTTTACCCTCGTTAAGGACATCAAAGTTTCAAAGCTCTTGAGTAGAATACAATTAGAAACAAGCTGCCCAATCTCTACTCACTAATACTTCGGCGAAGGTTCTCCATAACACATAAATACACAACTCTAGAACATTCTTGTTTTGGACTCATTTAAGAACTATCCAACTAGACAACTCATGAGGGAGATTTCTCTGCCTTTCACCTGTTCTTTTTAAAACCTTGACAATGATGCTCTTTGTCTTTTAAACTAAAGGAGCATTCCCTCCTTCGCGTACCCCCAAGATGTGAGGATCACTGAAGCAAGCATGATTCCCCATATGATTTCATAAATTGATTAACCTATAGAGATGGAAAACAAGCTTTCCTGTTGGAGATCAGGGCTTTAGAGTTGTGGATCTCTCAGAGTTGCTGGTGATTAAGCATCAAAAGTAAATTTTAGTAGTTGAGGATATACTGTTCAATGAGATTAACAGCCTAATAACAATAAAAACAAGACCTTGAAGCATGACAATAATAGACACAAATTCAACGATCCACTAATTTTATATGGTGAATAAGGTTAAATGGGAAAACGGATTGCATATATTCAAGTCTTGATCTCAAATTGTTTTAGCAGAAGACAACAGATTTGGTTAACTAGGCATTATCCACTACCCATACACAATGCCCTGCCATATCAAAAAGGGTATTTGGTAGTTAAAATTAAAAAAAAAAAAGTCTTCATGCTAGAGTATGTCATACTGAAAGAGACATAACTTGGCAATAAATCCTAGATAATGATTACCAAGTTCAGTAAAACCAGGCTCTATGGTTGCCTCTTTCATTAGAGTCTCAACAACCTCTTTTTGGTTCATATATAGTTGCAGACATCGTTCTATAAGATTTTGTACCTGCAATTAGAAAATATGCATAGAGAGATGTCACAGGCATGGAATAATTTTTGACTTCAAATGATGTATTTAGAAAATTAAAATTGTACATGTAATTATAAGGGAAAAATTGATTGCAACTCAAATAAGAAGATATACTGAGGTACTTCTCAAGTACCAATTCTAAGAAAATCAAGCAATTCTCATTAGAAACTGTTTGCATCTTTTGCCACAGACATTATAAACATTTTATGCATAAAGTTCTGCTAGGGTTAAGTTCATTAAATGTTTTAATGTGGATACAGAGAGTTACCCTTACCTTTATGCTCCTTAGTTGCTAAATGGAACATATCACTCAACTAGATCAATAAATCTACTATCAAGGTCACTTCTTTAGCCAGGATCATAAAGGTAAGGGTAACTTTTATTATTGGTCATCCTTGTCTGAGCTGTATTTTTTTTTTTTGGGGGGGGGGGGGAGAACAAGGTCAGTCTAGGCCTTTATTTCCATATTTTGTTTGCTTGAAGGAATATATCAAATTTTCACCTTTATACCATTCATGAATATCAATTGATCTAGTTACCAAAAAAAAAACGAAAAAAGAAAACACCTTGTTAGATGCATTTTTTTTACTCTTCAGACTACTTATTGGTTTTCAGGGACCATAAAGATAACCAAAAGAAAAAGAAGATAAGTAGACATTTCATATTGGAACTGAATGAATAAAAAGGACCATTTTTTTAATAATGATATTATCTGTAAAATGAAAGAAGATGGGCTAGGCATCAACAGGGTGAGGATATCAGCAGAAACTGGCAATTCATAGTCATGGAGAGGATATTCTGTAATTGAAATGTCAAGTTTAATGACTTCTTTACCAATTGTATATCTTTATGCGAGACCCTTCTTGGCTCTCCACCAGACATTTCTTGAGTTGCAACTAAATCTCTACTTTTCTTGAGATTCCACAATTAAATCAATACTCACCAAGAGAGCATATGGCGAGTTCAAAGAACGAAATATAGACAGTAAAAAGCTGTTCCTTGTATGGATGCTACCACTATAATAATAACACCGGATAGTGGTCTTCCTTGTTCTAATGAAAAACTGGAGCAAATTTAAGTCTGTACCCTGATACAGAAATATAGCAGAAGAAATGAGTATAATATCAACTCTTTGAGACATATGAAATCTCTAACCTAATTTAATGCTACTTTGGAGAACACAAAAGCAACTGATGGTAAAATCCCATCAACAAAATGCAAACACAAAGAACTTGCATATTATTGAGAAAAATACACCAAGTATAGTGGTAAACTAGCAATAGCATCAAGAATGAAGCAGACACAGAAGCTGATGAAAAAAAAAGTAGACACATGTAATATTACTTAAAACATGTCAGAAGTATGTAAGTATGTTACACAAGCATTGACAATCAAGCCAAAGAGTAAAAGAAATTTGCAAAATATTGACTTACAATTGAGATAGCCCAAGACAACTATAATAAGGAGGAACATGATAAACCAAGAAATTCTATACAGTTCTGAGTTGTTAAATAAATGACCGGAAAATGTTATTTTTCATTATTTTGGTACTTGGAATAAAAACTTTTGTAAATTCTCTCTTCCGTGTTAGTATCAGCAGCAGCATCAACACCAATAGGCATCTTTTTGTTCCCTGGTGAACATTTTGATTTTATCCAGGGACTGAGTCATCTTTTTGCCTTTCAGTTATAATATGGTTGTTTCACGCACATTTTCTGGAATTCGAAACATTTGTGGCAACATAACACCGAATTCTAAAAAAAAAGGAATAAACCAAGGAGATGAAAATGAGAATCAAGGGCATGCGTATTCTATCAGTAAGATACGCCAAGATATTTATAAAATAACTATTCTTGCTATAGGAAATTGCATCTAGTCAGTTCAGACACAGAATAAGTTCATAACATAATTACAATTTATCCCATCAGTATAATATTTGACAAAAAAAAAAGAAAACAAAATAAAACTTTAAATAATGACAAAAAGCTTTCAATCAAACAAAATTTTTGACACATAAAGAGTTCATTTACTACTGTTAAATCTAAAATCCATAAAAGAATTAATCATTTATTGGTTAAGAACAAAAAATCGTTAAAGCGGGAAACTGGGATCAAATTTTGAAGGACTCATAGAACAAGCTAAGAATCCTACCCCTGCAAAACCAATAGGATCAAGAAACCAAAACCAACAAACAAGAACCCAGTAACAAGTAAGCAACTTCTATACAAATAACATCAAACCAACCTCGTGAATTATGATCCCAAGCTTCTAAAAACACAAAGAAAAACAGCAAATTCAGCTTAAACACGGTGGATCAAATCCAATACCAATCAAAGAGAGATTAAACTCTCTTCTCAGAACAAATCAAACACTCATACTCCAACAACCACAGAAAGCTAAGAAAAAAAACCCAGATTAAGTCCACTCGGTTTATAAGCTAAACCTCTTACACTTTTCAGTTCTTCTCGCAGAAAAACTTCGAAAGCTCCTCTCCTCTGTTTCAACCCAGAGAAACAGAGAGAGAGATGGTGAAGCTCCCTCTCTCCTCTCTGTTTTTATTCTCCAATTTATTTCTCTCTCCTCGTTCTTTCTACTCTCTTTTTCCTTATTGAGTATTTTAAAGGACAACAACAAATTCACAAATCACACTATAGGAGGACAAGTGGTTCCTTAATGACTTGTGGGACCCTCCCGAGAGATCCTGTACTGATAGATCAAGGACCGACGTAATGGGGCGATTCTCGACCGTCCGATCCGCTCCCATTTTATTCTTGATCACTGTCATCATGGCCTTGGTGGGCCCCATGCACTGACTGGTACCATGACGCCTCTAAGTTATAACTTCCCACTTTCAAACTCAGCTATTTTGACCTTATCCGTTTAATATTGTTACGGTTTGGAGTCGTGCGATCTCGTGTAGGCCCTCTGCTTTTGACATTCACGCGAGCATCATCAAATCCAGACCGTTGAATTAATGGGTGGTGTCTGAAGTCTAAAGTCTAAGACCCCCCTGGATATGGTGCGGAAAAATGTTTCAAGTGTAAATGGGTTTATGACTCCGAGTTGATCCGGGTTTGATTGGACGGTCCGGATAGGCATCATGGTGGGCCATGCATGTGGTACAGCCGTACAGGAATGGCTCATAGTCTATTGAAATGGGGTGAAGTTTTATGTGGATCATTATTACATCATTCTTGATTTATATCGATTCCAAACGCAGACTTATAAACTTCTAACCTGAGAAAGTGATTTTTCGACAATGAAAGGACTACACTTTGACTGCTAGAAAAAGACTAGGGTTTTTTTTTGAATCGGTTCCACAAGGTTTTAACAGTCATTGAGTTGACTCGATGAATCAGTCCCGTCACAATTTAAAAATCTTATAATCACAAATTATATATTTTTAAGATTAAATTATTTGTTTTAATTAATAAAAATAAAGTTCCAATACAAGATGTGCAATAAATAGCAAGATTATATGAAGTGGCTAATCTAGTGGATCTCTAATTCTCTATTATGATGGATGGATGGTTTAGATTGGCCATAATAGGATTCTACAATGTGGCAAATGATGGATGGATGGTTTCTCTATTTCAACAGTCTTGCGTTGCGTTGGTAATATTTTCGTAGTTATGTGATTTATTTCATGGGAGATATTTTTAATACAAGGTTGTAAGGGGCTGTTCCACGTGTTTCGAGAAGTGGGGAGCACCACAATACTCCTTCAAGTATTTAAGGGCACTTCACTCAGGTATTTCTTTCTTATTCCACTCTTAGTGTTTTAGCCTCTTGCTCTTGCTCTCGCGTTTTTCAGCCTAGTTGACATCCTCTCCTTTGCTTAGTGACTTGAGCGTCAAAGTGCTTCTCCTTAAAGAACCACATAAAGGCTTTGGCTTTTGCAAGTCGTTGGACTCTCATCACCTCGTCTACCGTAACTCATATTACTTAATTTGTCCAGCTTAACAGGACTCTTATCTGCTATTCATCCACCTCAGACAACATCCTTAGTATATCAATTCTTGCATTTTAAAATAGTTAAATATAGATAATGATACGAGTCAGAAGAAGGGAAAAAGAATCACCTCCACGAGCCTGCTCTTCTTGCTACGGCTGTTCAAAAGAAGATCTAAATTGACCAACTCGGACCGACCCAACCCGAGTCGGCCGGGTTTTCTTCAGCACCGGTCAGTTTCGGGTTATAAAAAATCATAAATCGATGATTCGGTTCGGTTTTCGGTTTTCATGTGTGAAAATCAAAACCAACCCGAACTAAACTGATTTAGTAGTTAGTTCCTAGTTAGTAGTTACAACCTACTTAGTTCCTACTTAACTAAGTTGTCTCTATCCTAATTACAACCTAACTTTAGGTTGTACAACAACTAAGTCACCACTAAGTAGAGTTGAAACCGACCCAAACCGATTAGGTCGGTTTCGCTTAATACAAGGTCAGTTTCAGTTTCAATTTCAAGTAACCCGACCAAGTCGGGTTGGTTGGAAAAACACCAATAAACCAACCCAACCCGATCCGTGAACAGCCCTACTGAGTTGGCAAATTATGGTTATAAGGTACATGCAAATTTCATTTGTTTATGATCAGATTGAAATCAAATCTTGTCAATTGGATTTATACTGGATTTGAATCAAGTAATAAATACCATTAATATCATAAACATTTAGGCTGTGTTTGGTTGCCGTGCAAATTTATTTGCACAGTATAAATGCATGAGAGTGCAAATGTAAAAAATGCAAATTCTTGTTTAATTCTGTTTTGATTTTATTTTATTCTTCTGCATGTCTTAGTTTACTTCATTTGTACTGCAATCAAACAAAATAAGCTAAAATTTAAAACAAAAATAAGTCAGAATTTACACTCAAATCATTTACACTGCTATGGTTTTACATCAGTTCAAATTTATTTGCATTGCAACCAAACACAGCCTTAGGCTCAATTTAAAAGAAGTATAGATACAAATTTGTAGAATGCAAAAGCTTATATTTTATATACACATTTGTATTTATACTTTTTCCAAATTAAGCCTTAAATCCAATCAAATCAAACCGGGTTATATTAGATCAGATAAGGGTGAATCGATATTTCATGAAATTATAAACAAATCAAATGCGGATCACCCCAAATGGGATCATATTCGAATTCGGATTTGGATACCATTTGTATTCCTAATAAGAGTGATCATCATGAGATGAGATGGGAAAATCAGCTTAAGAGAGAATCATGGAATCAAATAGAATTGGCTTGGCAAGCTATTGAGATTTGAGAAGACCCTTTATCATTTTATTTTTGAAAAAGAAAAGAAGACCATTTATTTAATGAGAGCATAAATCTATGCCCCTCTCATGGATGGGGGACCATCTTTGTCCACATTGAGTTGAGGTCCCCAAGGGAACATGCTAGGAAATAAAAATAAATAAAAAAAGGGGAGAACTTTAGGCTCCCCTTTGTGGGACAACCCATGTATCACCACCACCAAGGTGGAATCTACATGGTGGGACCACTCTACACAACATCTTTGTGGTAGGTGGTAGGATACAAAATAATAACAACAGTATCAGCACACAACAACAACAGAAGCAGCATTAGAATGAGATTAATTTAACCCAAAAAAACCAGCTGTCAAATAATAAATAATTAGAGTGCACATGCACAAAAAAAAAAAAAAAACTGAGTAATTAATGAATGCTTCAACCTTTACAGAATTATAAAAAAATATTTTTTTTGTTTTCTAAAATATTAAGCCAATGAGTGATAAAGACAATAAGGTTATTAATTAAACTAATCTGTTTTAATTATATGAGTAGGAAGGCATGTGCATTTCACGTGATATTAATACTAAAAAGAAAAGATGTGAGGTCCCCATATAATGGGTACCTATAGAGCTTCCAATGTGATTTATGGCCGTGCATTTGTATGTCACCATTGATATAGTATCATGTTAATAGTTGTGTTGTAGGGGTGCAACTTGGACAGGTTCGAGTTGGAGTTTTATTAAACTTTGGATCGGCCCAATCCAAATAATGTAACATAAATTCTCCTAACATTTTGTGGGTTGCAGATCCGATTTAGATAATTTCACTAGGGTATCTGCTTTATACATTTAGTGCATCATTCAAACATTTAATCAAAACACACATTTGGCAAACATGTGGAGCCCATTTGGGCTGCTAAGTAATTGTTCCGTGTATGATTTGACCATTTATTTAAGGTGGTGTTTGTTATGCCTTCTGATTTTTTTTTTTATTTTTTTTTATTTTCACAAGTTGAAGGGACAACATAGGATTCCACTTTGAATCAAATAATTAATTTTCCGATGCCTGTTTTCAGCATATGTATTGATTTCACTCTTAGAAGAAACATATGGGTGCACCCCAGATGATTATCAAAATTGGCCAAATTGGATTCTGCGCAAACACATTTTACATCATAAAGAATGTGCATATCTTGCTGTTGCCAAACACTACCTAGGTCATTGACAAAAGGGTGAACCATATATGAACTAACACCTTTCAAACTTATTCAGCTGAAAGTTGTTCTCTTTGGTTCCATGAATGTAGTCCATTTAGAGACTAATTTTTAATCAACCCCCTTATAGAGTTCTTATTAAAATATGAATGTAATCTTTATTAAATAGTAAAGTTTTAAATGAAGTACAACCTACTTTGCACTTGTTTCAGACCTAGACAAACAAACAAAGATTCATACAAAAGCAATGACTAGACCAACAAAACTCACTACTATATTTATTTGGAAGAAGTGGCAGATACATATAAAGCCATCTCCTGGTGGGGGACCCTCTGGATGCATGTCTCAAGAGTTCAATCCTTCTCCCAATAAACACTGGCCACTAAAAATTTTAAACTTTTAATATAAAATATGTCCAAAAGGAAGGGTTAATCATGAGCAGATGGTATATATTTTAAGACTGAAATTTGTCTTAGCAAATGGAATGAACAAATAGCATAGAAGATCATCTACAATACCTGTTAAGAAAAGTAGTTTGTTATGAGTTGAAAGGGGATAGAGGAGCTGGGGACTGACAGTAAAAGACTTGGGTGAAAGTGATAAGAAATTATTTAATTACTCATAATGTAATAACGGAAATGATACAGAATAACAGAGAATGATGAAACAGGATTCATGTAGCGAATCTCATATATATATATAGTTGCAACAAGGCTTAATTATGAAATGGAATGAACATGTAGGCCCTTTTAGGATCCTAACTAGGTTGCTGCATAGAGGATTATTGGGTTTGATCATGGAAGCACACTAAATGACCTGACCAGAAGAGACCTCTTTCTATTAATTTTAATAAATTTTCAGAATAAATTAAAGACCCATTGAATTGGGCAAGCATTCATCCACTAGTCCACATTAGTCTATATACTACTTTTTATGCGAGTTCTTCCCAAGTAATAATAGCTCTCTTGAGTTCTGATTTCTAAATGCTCAATCTAAAAAAGCCCTTCAGGAAGACCCCACATAGAACTTCTGCCAAAGCTTCTAGGGTTGGAAATTCATCCTATTTAGTAAGATCAATTAGGGAGAGGAACTGTTTTTAGCCT